CGGAGAAAGAATAGGAGACTCAGGGCGCCATCTTGTGTGGAGAAGCAGAACAGGAAGTTATCGCAATGGCACAGAGAAGGCTCATTTCTGGGTGATCACATGGAACTGATCCAGTGTAGAGGGCAGCACCAACTTCACTCCCTGAAGGGTTGGTGTGGTCCCTGGAGCTGAAAGCCAGTAGCTGCAGTTCTCCAGCAGCGTCCCAGTTGGTGCCATCTTGGGTAGCAGGGCCGCAAGTGCGGACCCCAAGTGAAGGTCCAGAGTGGACTTGTTACTAGCTAATTGCACTGACTAAGCCCTCAGCACCAGCATTTGCAACCTGCAGGGTCTGTGTGGTCCCTGGAGCTGACAGCCAACAGCCCCTGATCTTTGTTGGTGCCCCTACGGGCACCATCTTGGACATTGAGGCAAATGCTCTGAACACTGATAAACTGCAAGAGAGGAGTGGTAAACTGTGCATGTGTTAATTCAGTAGTGCTCAGATATCAGTGTCACGGGACCAGGCACTGTTACACTGAAGGGATGACAGCTGAGCTGCCCGAGAGCTAAGCTGGGAACAAAACCATCACCATCTTAGAGCACTGCACAGGCTCTGTAGAAAAAATAGCCCCTGGCAAGGCACACAGTCAACTCCACTGAAAATAGTTCCATGAGGTACTCAGACTTATCAGCCAACAGGGGGCAACAAATCAGTGCTGCCTACAAAATCAGTGCCACCAACAAAGGAATTATTTAGGACTATTGTGTTTTCCAAATCCAGGGCACTGATTGAACATAAAAAATTAACTTGTAGACCTATAGATAACACATCTTAGAGAAGATTCCATCAACCAGAATGGCAACTACAAAAGGTAAAAGAAAAGACAAAGGCACTATGAATGTTACTGAAGACTCTCCAGCAAAGGAGCAAAAGCTGCACCTACTCTCAGAGTTAAATGAGGAAGACATTGAGAAAATAGGGGACACAGAACTCAGAAAACTCATTCATTATAAAGCTGCTGATCAAAAATGAGAGGCACATGCAAGAATTCAAAGAATTTAAGGAATATGTTATGCAAGAAAGAGCAGCAATAAACCAAATCAAGGCTGATAGATTAGAAATTAAAAACACAGTAGAGCAAATTAAAAATACAGTGGAGAGTCTCAACAATAGAATGAATGAGGCAGAAGAAAGAATTTCAGAATTGTAAGATATTTCCTGTTACCGTGAAGAAACAAAAAGCTGGAAGCAGAGCTGGGTCAAGCTAAAAAAATTATCCAAGAATTAAAAGGTAAAATCAAAAGGCTCAACATAAGAGTTACAGGACTTCCAGAAGGTACAGAAAGAGAAGTTGTGATTAAAGATATATTCAATGAAATAATAAATGAAAAGTTCCCTAATCTGGACAGAGAATTGGAAAATAATATACTGGAGAGCTACAGAACTCCCAACAGAGTTAATCAAAAACGAACTTCACCACAACACATGATAATCAAGCTCTCTTCAGTTGAACAAAAAGAAAAAATCCTTAAAAGTGCACGTGAAAAGAATCAAGTGACATATAGAGGAATCCAAATCAAACTCACAGCTGGCCTTTCAGACGAAACACTACAGGCCAGAAGAGAATGGAGTGCCATATTCTAGATTCTAAAAGAGAAAAAATTTCAGCCCAGAATAAATTATTCTGCAAAGCTGTCCTTTGTCTTTGAAACTGAAATAAAATTATTCTACAATAAAGAAAAACTTAAAGAATTTGTCTCATCTAAACCTGCCCTACAAATGATACTCAAGGATGTTCCCATGAAAGAAAAAAGAAATAACAACTACCAAAAACAAAGGCAAATGTGGAGAACATCCCACTAAAAGGCTAACAGAAGACTCATTCATAGAACAACACATTACTAAAATGATAGGATCAAACAGCCCCTTATCCATAATTCTGAATATAAATGGCTTAAACTCATCAGTCAAACACCACAGACTAGAGGATTGGATCAAAAAAATAAAACCCAGCTATCTGCTGCTTACAGGAGACACATCTCACCAACAAAGACCAGAGGAAATTGAAAGTGAAAGGATGAAAAAAGATATTCCAAGCAAATGGTAAGGAAAGATGTGCAGGTGTAGTCATTTTTATATTAGATAATATGCACTTTGATATAAAGAGCATCAAAAGAGTGAAGAATGATACCACATAATGATCAAAGGAAGCATTCAGCAAGAAGAGATCAGCATAATAAATGTATGTGTGCCAAATGCCAAAACACCTAGCTACATGAAAATATTAACGGATTTAATGGGAGAAAGAGACTTCAACACGATCATAGTGGAAGATCTTAATACCCCATTAAAATCAATGGACAGATCAAAAAACCAGAAACTCAGCAAAGAAACAACAGAACTCACCCAAACTCTAGAGCAAATGGACTTATCGAACCTTTCACCCTACAGATAGAGAATACACTTTTTTCATCAGTACATGGAACCTTCTCCAAAATTGATCATGTTATAGGTCACAAAACAAGCCTCAGCAAATTTTAAAAAGTGGATCATACCATGCATCTTCTCAAGGAGTAAAGCTACAGACCAAGAAGTCAAAACACCAAGGTAGACCTGCAAACACATGGAGACTGAATAATATGTTACTAAATGAGCAATGGGTTAGAGAGGAAATCAAAGGAGAAATTTAAAAAATTGCTTGAAACAAATGAAGGCATCAAAACTTATGGTTATCAAAACAAGTCAGTGCTAAAAGGAAAGCTCATTTTAATCAGTGCTTATGTCAAGAAACTAGAAAAGCACCAAGTAAATCAGCTGGCCTTACAGCTGAAGGAACTAGAAAAGCAGCAACCAAGCAATCCCAAGATTAGTAGGAAAAAAGAAATCATCAAAATAAGGGAGGAAATAAACCAAATAGAGACCAAGAGAACTATACATAAGATCAATGGATCAAAGAGCTGGTTCTTTGAGAAAATCAACAAAATAGACTCTCCACTAGTCCAACTAATCAAAAAAAGGAGGAAGAAAATACGCATCAATAGTATCAGAGATGAGAAAGGAGATATATAACAACTGATGCCAAAGAATCATTAGGAAATATTACAAGCAACTATACGTGAACAAATCAGAAGACCTAGAAGAGATGGATAGATTTTGGACACATACAATCTACCAAAATTGAACCAAGAAGCAATCAAAAATCTAAACAGCCAAATAACATGCACTGAGATTGAACCAGTAATTAAAGTCCTCCTAACCAAGAAAAGTCCTGGACCAGATGGCTTCACTGCTGAATTCTACCAAATGTTTCAAGAGGAACTTACCCCAATCTTACACAAGCTTTTTCAAACAATAGAAAAAGAGGCAATCCTCCCAAGCTCTTTCTATGAAGCTAATATTACCTTAATACTAAAGCCAGATAGAGAAACAACAGAAACAGAAAACTACAGACCTTGATGAACATAGATGCAAGGATGCTCAATAAAATATTAGCCAACAGGATCCAACAACACATCAGGCAGATCATTCACCCAAACCAGGTGGGATTCATCATAGGCATGCAAGGATGGTTCAAAATTCACAAAACAATAAATGTGATACATCACATCAACAAATTGAAAAATAAAAACCATATGATCCTCTCAATAGAGAAGGCATTTGATAAAATCCAACACCACTTCATGCTGAAAAACCTAAGCAAGATAGGCATAGAAGGAACATTCTACAACACAACCAAAGCAATTTACGAAAAGCCCAATGCCAGCATCATACTAAATGGGGAAAGATTGCAAGCATTCCCACTAAAATTTAAAAATTTCAGTTTGGTTTATTCTAAATAATTTCTTTTCTCCTGTCAAATTCATCATGGACTCATGGATTATAAAATAGCATCATTTTTTCCAAGAGACTTCTGTGTTTCCTTTTTGTCACCCATGTGTTGGTTACTCAGCAGCACAGTTTTTCATGGTGCTGTAATTTGTTGTTGATGTTGTTGTTGTTATAGCTTTCTAACTCATACCAGTTGTTGACTTTGTTTGATGACTTCCCACTTATAGAAATGTATAGTGGGGGCCCGGTGGCGTGGCCTAGCAGCTGAAGTCCTCACCTTGAACATGCCGGGACCCCATATGGGCACCAGTTCTAATCCCAGCAGCTCCACTTCCCATCCAGCTCCCTGCCTGTGGCCTAGCAAAACAGTTGATTAAGGCCCAAAGCTTTGAGACCCTGAACCCGTGTGGGAGACCTGGAAGTTCCTGGTTCCCAGCTTCGGATTGGAGCAGCACCAGCTGTTGCGGTCACTTGGGGAGTGAATCATCAGACGTAAGATCCTCCTCTCTGTCTCTCCTCCTCTCTGTATATCTACTTTGTAATGAAAATAAATAAATCTTTTAAAAAAACCAAATGTATAGTGATGGAGTACTGGGGTCTATCATATACAGATGTGGGGGTGTAACGGAACACGCATCCATGCATCCAGATGAAAGATAGAATCCCATTCAAACTGTTGGACAAGTGTAGACAATGGGATGCTGGACTGTCTGACACTGTACCAACAATGCTGGGGTATACTTAAATAAGAGTCCATTAGAATTATGATTCCTTATGAAGGATTACACCATTGTAACAAAATGGGAATAATGTGATGGGGGTGGTAGTTTGGGGGGAATCCCAGCCTATATGAAATTGTACCACATAATTCAAAACTCAATATAAAAATATATTTAAAAAAGAAAAGTAAAGAAAAAGAAAGACTAGAGCGGAGAACAATGGGGGGAGGGGAAACCCCAATGCCTATTAAACTGTGTCATAAAATAAAAAAAAATTAAATAAATAACTAATTAAAAAAAGAAAGGATGCATGGAGAATAAAATGGTGTGCAAGACCAGGAATCAAAAAAATATTTTTTAGTTATCTATTTATATCCTTCATTCATTATTCTTAATCTTTCCGTGCTTTTATGTAACTCCAATATTGGCTCTTTGAAATAATTAAATATTTTCCCCACCCTGCTTTTTTGTATTCAGCTCTTAAGCAATATATTTACTGTTTCTAAACAGACATGCATTGCTGGGAGAAGAGAGTTGAGAAATAGCACTTTTTAGTGCATATGCAAAATGCTTCTTGCTCAGGGCTTCATTCCATGCCCCATCTGGTAGTCAAGACTTATGGGAAGCAGTAATTAAGTTAGGTTCATTGTTACTGCCCTAGTAGAATAAAAATTTAATGGCATAAGTGATAAGAAATGATACCTTCACTTTACATGAACACAGACCACAACTGATGATGTTATCTTAATGGGCAGTTTCATGACACACTTTCAAGCCTAAATTTATTGACCCACTTAAAAAATATATATTTATTTTAATTGGAAAGTCAGATATACAGAGAGAAGAGACAGACAGGAAGATCTTCCGTCTGTCCACTTATATAACCCCAAGTGGCTGCAATGGCCAGATCTGAGCTGATCTGAAGCCAGGAGCAAGGAGATTCCTCTGGGTCTCCCATGCAGGTGCAGGTTACCAAGGCTTTGGGCCATCCCTGATTACTTTCCCAGGCCACAGGCAGGGAGCTGGATGGGAAGGCGGGCTGCCGGGTTTAGAGCCAAAGCCCATATGAGATCCCAGCAAGTGCAAGGCAAGGACTTTAGCCGCTAGGCTACCATGCTGGGCCCTATTGCCCCACTTGTATCTGGCCAACCCACAGGGCCAGGCAGTTTCTGCCTAAGGAAATGCAAAACACTTCTTTAAAAAGTGATTAAATTTTTTTCTTTTAAAAATTTTATAAATTTGAGATAAATATTTTAACTGTATTTAACTGGAAGGCAGAATGAGACAGAGAGGAAAGAGGGATGATAGGTATGGACATAGAAGGAGAGTAAGGGGGAAGACAGGAAGAAAGAGAAAGAGATACTCAGAGAAAGAGAGAAAGGTCTTCCATGTACTGGTTCATTTCCTAAATAGCCACAATATCTTGATCTGGTCTCAGCATCAGCCAGGAGCCAGGAACTCCACTGGGGATTTCCATATTGGTGGCAGGGCCCAAGAACTTGGGCCATCTTCTGCTGCTTTCTTAGACACATTAACAGTGAGCTGGATAGGAGGCAGAGCAGCCCAGGACTCAAGCCAGCACTAAATAAGGGACACAGCTTAACCCATGAACACAATTTAGGCCCAGAAGACATATCAGTAATAATCAGTAACAAAGCAAGCACAAATGTAATTCAATTAAAAATAACCACAGTTGACCAGAGATGGTCTCCCCAAGAAACGGTTGAATTTATCTGGCCAATAAGATGCTGGACTCTATGCATGGTACATGCTTGCAATGAAAGTAGCATGACTGGATTTGAACTGTAATACTGCAATAAGGTGGAGTAATCCACTATGGAGGGAGGGCACTAGGAGGGGTTGGGTGAACCTCAGAGCCTATGAAACGATGTCATAAAATGAAATACAATTTAAAAACAAACAAACAAAAAAATAACTACAGTCACTAAAGGTTTTAGCTATCTGTTTCCACTATTTGGATGTTGATAACTTTTCCAAGGGAATAAAGGGTTTTGGGGAGAAAATGGATCACATGATTCATAAACTGCCCCACTTTTATCTGTCTTTCCAATAAAAATGATCTTTCTTTAAAATTAATAAAGAAAAAGGATTTCTTGATCTCAAATTTCAACTATAGCTAGAAAATTATATTCATATTCCCTATTCTATATCACATCAAAGGTATTAATTTAGGGAGAAACTAAATTAATGTCTTAATTCAACATTCTGTCCCAGAGGATAAAAGTTTTCCATGAGATCTGCATATAAGAAAGGAACCTGTAATTCTGTATTTATAGCAGTACAATCTACAATAACAAAGACATGGAAACAACACAGATGCCTGTCCAAAGAGGAGTGCGTGGATAAAGAAACAGAGGTACATCTACTCCATGGAAAAAATGCCATTAAAAAAAAATGAAATTCTACCATTGTAACCAAATGGTTCCAACTAGAGTCCATTACGCTCAGTGAAATAGGTCAATCCCAAAAGGACAAATATGATATGTTCTCCCTGATATAAGGCAACCTTCATGGAAATATAATCAATAGTCCTTTCAATATGCTTTTGCTGCAATTCATGGGTTTTGATATTTTTATTTTCATTTCTTCAAATTCGTTTTTCTATTGTTAAATTCTTCACTGACTTCCAAATTTCCTCATATGGGCAGGATCTACTTTAGATCTACTTCTTGCTCTATTGTAGGAAATTTGCTTTGTTTAATTTAAACTGATGTGCAGGGTATGCATTTCAAATGGCAGTGTAGAAACCAGTTAAGACACTCATGTCCCAGCTTTAGCACAACAACCTAGAGGCTAAATCTTTGCCTTGTATGCAAAAGGATCCCATGTGGACACCAGTTTGTGTACCCACTGCTCTTGTTCTCATTTACCTTCCTGCTTGTGGCCTGAGAAAGCAGTTGAGGATGGCCCAAAGCCTTGGGACCCTGCACCCTGAGGGATCTGGAGGAAGCTCCTGGCTCCTGGCTTCAGATCAGCTCAGCTCCAGTCATCGCGGCCATTTGGGGAATCAATGAATGGATCTTTTTCTGTCTTTTCTTCTCTCTGTATATTTGCCTCTGCTTTTCCAAATAAAAATAAATAAATTTTTAAAAAAAGATGCTCATATCCCATAGCAGTATACCTGAGTTCAATACTGTCCCAGCTCCCAACTCGTTTCCTACTAATGCACACCTTGGCAGGCTGCAGTGATGACTCCAGTAACTGGGTTTGTACTAACTAGGAGGGAGAAGGAAGAGAATCCTGAGTGCCCAGTTTCAGCACCAGCCAGGAAAACTGTGAGCATCTGAGGAATCAACCAGCAGATGAGGGCTCTCTCTGTATATATTTAACCATGTGTTGTAGGAAGGAAAAAGGGAGAGAAGAAGAGAAGTGAAGGATAATTCAGGGAATAAAGAAGAATAAGAAATGGGAAATTCAGAGTTTAGGATCACTACTTCAGACTACGAAAGCTGCATCTCAAGTTTGTATCTGATATAATCATTAAATAAGTCAAATACATTTGGGCTTATGCGTTTAATTATAAGCAATTAAGTTTAGTTAAATGTACAACAGTATGGTAGGTGCCACTACTGTTAATGTGGAAGATATATTCTTTATCCTGCCTTTAATACTAACAATGTAAAAATGGCCCAAGAAAATCACAGCTGTGCTCCCTAGGTGCCAATCATCATGCAAAGGGGTCCACACATGTGTGCTGTCTTTCTTAACACTTGCCACAAGCTTGTAACATGGGCATTATTACTATTACTACTAGTTTTTGCTACTAGGGAAAACTTCCTCACCAAAAACCCAAGTTTCTTACCCTTGTCAAAAAATAAGGTACAGGGCCAGCTTATCTTCTAACTTGGAAGATAGTACTGATATACATGAAAAGTGAATACTACAGCACCCCAGTTGAGTAACATTAACTTGAGGAGCTATTTGCCAAAATGTCCCAAGCTGCCCTTCTTCCCTGCCATCTCTACCTCCCCAGATGCTCCAATCTCCTGCAGGTGACTTAAACAACATGATGTTTGGTGTGCTGGGGGAGGCCAGCTGCACTGTGAGCCTGCAGAGCTGTACCTGCCATGTGCAGAGGAGCTCTTCAATCTTGCCCTCTGTCTTCCAGACATCTGGGCACACTGAGAGCAAGTACTGGAGTGTCAGAGGGTCACCTCTTTCTTCAGCTGATAATGTGGACACTGTCCCAGCCATCTTTGTTCTTCAGCAGTGGGTTCGTGCCGTGTTTCACAAGGTCCTGGATCACTCCGAGATTCTTCCTCATGCAAGTCATCATGAGAAGAGTCCTAGGGTCAACCAGGACAAGCTGTCAGAGGGAAGGCAGCTGAGATGAGAAGTGGTTAGGTTTTCAGAAAATGTACATCCTTTGGCAATAGAAGATTCAGGGGTCTGGGAAGCAGGAAAATCACTTGGACTGGTAAGTTAGCTGCGTTCTTTCGAGGAAGAAACAACAAGAGAGAAGGTGATTGTGCTGAATATGTGACTATTGAAAGGGTACCTGGGAGGCAAGGCTGCTCACTGCAGGGCTCCATCTTCGGGGTGGGGATGATGTACTTCATCTAAAGATGTAACTTTCTCTTGCTTATTTAGATCAAAAATTACCCCAAAGCAAGGACTCCCTGATGCTCTGAACCTTAAGAAATGCACCTCTAAAGAACCCGACAGAGTGAGAAGCAAAAATGTCATTTGTCTAACAAACAGGATGAAATTGGTATGGTGCCACAGAACCCCGTATTGACTGTGTAGTGTTCATGCATGACTATATGTGAGAAAATTGCTTAGTGCTCTCCACATGCATGCACATCTGTAATAGATGAAATTTGAATAAGAATGTTGAGTAAAGCAATAGCAACTGCTGAAACAGTAATTTAACTATATGTCCCCAGAAGAACATCACGTGGCGGGGGGCATATGTAGTTTAAGAACGTTTGCAAACCACATTCTATACTGCATACTGTGCAGTGCCTTACAAGGGGAACCGATGGCCCCATCCAAACAGCTAACCCCACAAAAGCAGGAATAAAGTGTCATATATATATCGACCACTACAAGGGAAAACTTTGGCAGTATGGCCCTACCACGGTGGAGCCTTGGAAGAGAACTTGGAGCAAAGAAAAGCTATCATGTCCAAAGATGGGGTGAGGGTGTGTGTGGCATCTTTATGAACCCTGCCTACCTACCAGCTGGCCTTCTTCAGGTAGTCCATGGCTACCCCTCAGCGCAGCCAGGTAGTGCACCCAGTCCCGGTGGCCCATGGAGGGAGCCTCATGTAGAGGCCGCTTACAGTCTTGCTTAGCGGCCTTGATGTCCATGCCCCAGGCTTGCCAGAGAGCTGAGGATGTCCAGACAGCAGTGGCGAGTTGCACAGCACAGGAGGGTGCGGCCAACAACTCCTGCTGCAAGGGCCTGCAGCCGGCCCGGCCCTCTGGCACAAATTTGTAGAGGCTCCGATGGTTCCCAGGCCAGGGCTGTCATCGCGTGTCAGGCTGAGAGCCTGACACTGTGAAAACTGTTCCAGCGGCTCCCTTTCTTGATGGAGACCTGCCTCCTGCTTCTGCCCCAGCATCGCACCTGCTCCCAGGACCCTCCCACCCCCTCCTTGCCCAGGCCAGGAAGATAAAGTAATTTGCAGAGCAGGACGCTGATCCTTCAAGCGGGTGGGGAGCAGGGCATGGCAAGCACTCTAAGGGGCCACTTTGTGGTACGCTGAAACCTATTCAGGTGCGCTGGCTCCTGGCTCCTCTGTAATCCGAGAGCTGCTTCCCTCTCCACTCCTCAGCACGGGTTTGACTGGGACTCCACACGAAGGACAAGCCCTGGGCTTGTGGCCCTACCGCAGAGCCCTGAAGCGCCACGGCCCGCTCTCCATTGCCAAGCCCTCCGCACTGGAGCCTGCATGACAGGTGTGTGCTTCAGGAGCCGACACCCAGGCTCGGCTTCCTCCAGCAGACTGCCCCGACCCGCCGTGCTTAGCGGCGTCGTTTCGTGCTTCGCCCTGCTCCCTCAACCCAACCGGCCGCCGCCTCTACCGGCACTGGCGGAGCTCGAAGGAACCCTGGGAAAGTTTCCCCTCCGTGGCTCGCCCCGACCGGAAGCCCGGACAAGGCGTGGCGCACGAGCGACGGCCGCGCCCCCTGGAGCCGCATTTCTATTGGCTGCGGTGGCTGACCATCAGCGCGCCCCTTCCGGTTTGCCCGTCTGGATTGGCTGTGGAAGCCATCCGTCCACTCGAGGCGGCGGGTGCTGCGGGGTGGAGCTCTCAGAGGAAGTCGCGACTGTCAGGGCTCAGAGTCCAGGCTGGAGGAGGAGCTGGCCGGCTGGGGACGCTGGGCTTTGCGGCCAGCGGCAGCGGCGCCGGCGGCGTTGGTAGCTCCAGTCCGGAGCGCCATAGTGCGTGAGGCCGCAGACGTGGCGGGGAGTGCGGGTCGGGGTCCGCCGTGCGGGAAACTGAACCTAGGTGCCGGGGTTCCGGGCTCAGGGTGGGGCATTGGGTCTCCTGGGAGAGCCGAGTCGGGCCCAGGCGGAGCGTGTAGGGACCGGGGCCGCCGCGGTCGGGAGTGGGCAGGTGCGGGGGCGCCACGGGCTGTCCCTCCGACAGGCTGGGGCGCCGGGTGAGCTCCGGCCAGGCGCTCGCCCCCACGCTGCTCCTGGGGCCCGGGAGGGGCGGCTGCAAGAGGAGGCATGGTAGACGTGGCCTCAGCTGCTGGCCAGCCAGACTTCCTTTTCTCCCAAGATGTTTTGACCTTGGGAGACTCGTTTTATGCTGCCGCTCCTCCCGTCTTGAGATAGTAATCCCTCACCTCCTTGCCATAACAACGATTAAGGTGATGTGGGAAGGCCCGAACATTTGGAGGGCACGATGAGGTCTGAAAAAGCTGGGTGATAGTAGAGACTAGTGTCTACCTGACCTAATTGCATACTGTTGACATCTTGATATATTCAGTTCCTTTAGAAGACAAAAAGGATTCTAGGCTAGCACCGTCTATTTTGTCATTGCGCTTTGTGGTTTGCAAAGCACTTGACATTAGTTATCCACAAACGACCCTGCAAAGCATCACGCTGGTGAGGAAATTGAGGCTTTGTGAAGTTAGTGATTTTTGTTTTTCTTCCACCATGGAAGTACAAGCAATAACAGATCCTGAAAGGTAGGTAGTATGCATTGAGTGTCTACTTGTGCCTGACACTGCAGAAATAAACAGAGGTAGAATAAAGGCAAATCTTTGGTAAGGCTCATTGAAAGGAAGCCAGTTTGATGCGCAGTGTGGATTTGGTTAGCTTAGTGAATATTATGACAGTCACTGGAGACAGCCAAGTCCTAGTATCAGCTTTGATAAAGATGCATGTTTTCATTATAACCTGTCATTCTTCCTCCACCCCAATCAGGAAAGGAAGAGTAAAGGCGCTTGGAATTACAGAGAATTTTAGTGCGGGCAAAGCAGTGTTCTGACTGCTGTTGTTGGAATCAGGGCAGGTTGGAAACTGTATCCAGAAGCATCATACTTTTTATCACTGCTCCTCCATCTCTCCATTGGAATCATAGATGTCACTTTTGTTTACTTTATGTCTCCAGTTTCCCTGTGTTGTATGCAGCATTGAGAGTTGACACTAGGAGTTGACACTGCAAATGTTGACTGCGTGGTCAGTGTTCCAGTTCCCATTCTGTTTCTCCTGTATTCTTTATAAACTACCTTTCCCCTGAATTCCCCCACCCCCAGGTTGAATAACAGGAAGATGAAGCATGTGGCTGTCACACAGCTACTGTGGTTTTTGTGCAGCACAAGCTGGTATGGAGAGGGGCTCTACACAGTTGGCTAGCAGACAGATGGAGCTGTTCCTGGGGTCGTTCTGCTTTCCCAGTTGTGCTGCGGCTTTCTTTTGGACTGGCCTCGGGAGTTTGTGGCCTGACCTTCCTGTCTGATTTCCCATGCAGTTGTCATTGATGAGGATGTCTTGCCTTTTGCTCATGTTGAATTTCATGAGCATTTTGGCTGTGGTCATTGGAGTGCTCAGCAGTGGACATGTTTCATGATTAATGAGCACACAGACTTCAGTTTTGCTTTTCTGGCTGGGAGATGACTCCTAGAAACTTGTCTATCACCAAGACTTCTCAAGCCTTCTATCTTGCACCTTTTGGGAACCAGTCTTCGTTTGCAAAATACCTCCCGGAGCTTGATCTACTATTCCACAGAATAACTTTAAAACAGAACAAAAAAGTAGCATCCCCCTCACTCCAGAAGAGTGATTCAACCAGCACCCTTGACTCTTAATGTTCTGCTAAGACATGTTGCTCTTGTTGCTCTTTGTTTCTTGGCAGAAAGCATTGTTGATATTTGTCTGTCCCCTTGGCCCGTTTCTGTTGCTCTGAGGTCTTTACCTGCTCTTGCCTCGGTTGCTACAGGGACTTGCTGACTTGTTTTCCTGACATCAGTTTGTTCATTCCCTGCTATTTTGCAGTTACTGTTCTTAGGTGTGAATTTAGTCTATGTAATGACATTGCCTGAAAGCAGGATGACACCCTGAGTGGCCTACATGAGACAGTGCAGTTTGATGAACGGTGTGTTGAAGGACCTGTGTAGTGTAGCTCCACATTCTTCTGGATGTTTCTCCCATCATTACTAATCTGTGAATCTTGTTCTGATGAAACCTAGCTGTTAGGCCACACCAAAGTTTTGTTACTTCTCTGCATTTTCATGCACACTGGTTTTTCTGCCTACCTGAATCTTTCATGTCTCAAGGACCAACTTAATTATAAAGCTTTTTTCAAGTTCTTTAACTCTATTTACTACCATGCCAACTCGTGGATGCATTTTTCTCACACTTATATCGCCTTATGTTTAATAACTTGTGTTTGTTTTGCTAGCTACCTTATGGTAAGGCTTATTCATGTGTGTGTCCTCACTGTCTAAAATAATTCCTTTTTTTTTAACACCCAGGTTACTGCCAAGCAGTTCAAGATGAATCCAGGACTCAGTAGACACTTAAAAGTAGTCATGGAATGAATTGGCAATGGAGAAAGCCATTGAAATGTATAAAAATATGTCCTGGACAGTAAATAATGATATTTGTATTGTTTTCTGCCTACCACTTTTGTCTATCCTGGTGAGGAATGCAGAATGAGACCCTTGCCCACCATAATAAATGGGTGCTGTCTTTTGGGTGGTTCAAGGTGTGAAGTACAGGATGTGGAGCCTATTGGCTTGGTCCTTTTTGGGTTTAGCGATTAAGCTGAATGTGGTGACTGGCAGGGACCTGGCTTGGAGTCGAGAGTGACTCCTGACATCAGTTTGTTCATTCTCTGCCATTTTGCAGTTACTGTTCCTAGGCATGAATTTAGTCTATGTAGGGATCGCTTCCCCTCTCTTCCTCCCTTCCTTCCATCCGTCCATCCCAAATTGGAGCAAAATGTTTTGAAGTTTTCTCACTTTGAGTCTGCAGGACTTGGTGCTATTTTCCCTCATATTTACATCTCCTAAATACTTTTTGCCCATTAGGTTTCTTTCCTTCTGATATTTCACTAGTGCCTTTTAAAAAAAAGTGTTATATAAAAGATTCTTCAGGTTCTTAGAAGCTGAATGAAAGCTGTCTGGATACAGCATGGATAATGTTACGGACTTGGGAGTCAGAAGACCCAAGTTCTTGTTCTGACACTATCAGTTAGAAACTGTATTATGACTTAGAATGAGTCCTCTGTGAGCCCCTGATGTTATTCATATGTATGTTTGAGAGACAGTTCCCATATATTGGCTCAGGCCCCTCCGATGCCTGCTGCTGACAGGAGTGGGTTGAAGCTGGAAGCCACAAACTCAGTAGTGGTCTCCCATCTGGGTTTTTCTGTTAGTAGGAAACTAGAGTGAGGAGTCCGAGATGTGTGAAACCCACATGCATTGGTATGGTCCATGAGTGTCTTAACCAGTAGTCTCCCTGCTAGGTCAGATGCTTCCCCATGCCTCAGTTTAGTTGTGGCATATGTGGAGGAGGTGTGCTGTGGGGATCAACTGAAATTGTAGAAAAGAACTGTAGGCACTGTAAGGTAGTTTAGGAAAGCAGCCTAACCTGTAGAAGGAAGTCCTCCTGTGCATTTGTCTATTTAGTTAGCAGTTGTTTGTGAAGCAGAGTGTGTTAGGTGCTGGAATTAAGTAAGGTTTGTTATACACATCCTTATGTAAGCTGTTGCTGTTAATAGTGACAAATATTCAAACATGTTAATCCACATAACATACTAAGTACATCATTATATGAATAATTGTTGTGGACGTAAGTTAAACAATACAATAAGGATGTATTAAAGATACTTTTTTGTTCAAAGAACATTATATTTATGAAAACTGTTGTTCAAAGTATGTCAGAGTGTTAGAGAGGTTTTATTACTGTTACGTGCTGCCTGGCTTGAATGACTGCTGGAGTTCAGGTTGCTTATTAGGTCGGGCTCTCTTGTCAGGTGCCTCAGTCATCATAATGAGCTACACTGCCCAGGGCTCTGTTATCCACAGGTGATGGCAGAGGCCCGGTGTCTCCAGAGAGATCTTATAGAGGCCTCTTATCAGAAAAGTCAGAGGCCTGTGGGCAAAGTACCTGTGCACTTAGGTAACTTGGTATATTACCTGGATTAACAATGTTAGATGTGGAGTATTTGTCAAGCACCTTGTGCTCCAGAGTTAGCTTGATTAATTTTTTAAATTTAATTTACTTCATATATTCCCTCCAGGAATTCTGCCCACTTAGTGTCTTAATTTTGTCCAGTTAAGTTTGCAATAGCTAAGTCTTAGAAGACTTTTTGGTGTGAAATCTAATGGGTAAAGGTAGGAGAAAAAGTGTTATTTCATGTCAATTTCCCCTGAGCCTAGGATCAGTAGGGTGAGCTTTGCTGCAGTAACAGCTAGGCCTGCACAGTAGTGCCCTTCTAAGAGGTGTAACAGTCGAGGAGTTTCTCTGTTTTGTGTCCTTTTTTTCTTGTCATATAAGGACTTGGCTGCCAAAAGGCTCTTCTTTTTTGAACAGGTGGCTTACAGAGATGACTGTCCTGGAAAATTAGGTGCCTAATTGACTAGAAGGCTAGAGAGCAGGGAGGACAAGCCTAGGAAGGGTGCATGCCATTTTGCTTACACTCCTTCTGTTGCCTAGCGCTCAGCTGTAAGATGGCATCTACCACATCCATGACAGGGAAGTCTGCAAAGGAAGAAGGGGAGCGATGGTCCTGGCCATAGAACCCGAAGCACTTAGTTTCACTTTCTGAACCTTTTGTTCATTCTTTTCCAGTAAGGAAAATTAAAACATGAAGTCCTGTGAGTAAAAGCATAATAGAGGCAACCTGGGCTCCTCCTTCTCAGTACGAGTGTAGTGTCACATGGAGCACTTTGAGGGATGGAGAGTGAGACATGGTCTCTGCTTTCAGTGCACTCTAGAAGAGGAGTTGTAATCATGTCTAAGAGTTTATGTCTAGCTTAACTGATGAGAATCTGCCAGGGGATGTGACTAGATCATGACATTGGTCAGAATGGGCCAGAATGGAGTAGACCGTCGTGAAGATGAAGGGATTTAATGACCAGTGAGTGGCCAAATCCGAGTTAATGACCACTGTGAAGTCGTGCAGCAAAACCAAGGACCCGATGTGCTGCTGGTCTGCTGAACCAGGGGGTAAAAGCTCAGAATTGGCAGATACATGTGGATCCTAGAGAGGGAGACTTTGAGAGCAGGGGACAGAGAGAAGTTGCACTGCCAAGGCAAGGCATCTCTAAAAGATCAAGGTGGGCAAAGATCTGTTTGATAATGATTTTTTTATATAGTCTCATTTTCTTTGTCTTTTATCTGAGGAATATGACATGTTACTTGAAAGAAAGAGAGAAGGGAGAGAGAAAATGAATTTAGATCCACTGGTTTGCCACTTCCCAAGTGATCACAACAGCCCTGTCTGGGTCAAGCCAACATTTCCTATTTGAGTGACAAGGACCCAAGTACTTGGAACACCTTGTGTGGCCTTCTCAGACCCATTAGCAGGTAGCTGGAGCAGAAGTGGAATAGCCAGGACTCTTGGCATTCTGATATCCACTGTGTGCCAACACTGCCCTTTGGCAGTTGACTTGTTGCTGTTAGCAATTATGGGAGTCTTACAAATGCATACAAGTACCTACCTTGGTATGGAGGAGATTAGTTTGAGTATCTCTGGTGCTCATATAAAAACTCATATAAACTACCCATCATACTATTCATATAGTTTGGAAAACCTCACAGCCATTTTAATCTCTTTCCATTCATAAGATCCCCTTGGACGTGGCTGTTATTCCTGTGGATGTGTGTTTACATTTAACTTAGTTCATTAAAGACACGGGTAACTTCTAACAATAAGTCCTCTTTAAGAGAGCTGTAAAGTGCACTTTGAATGTGAGGAGTGTGGTGCATCTCATTAGGTTTAGGTGACTTGTGAAGGAAGATTTTAGGAAGGACACAGCATTTGAATATTTTATAATTACATTTGAGCTGCTGTTTTAAATATATACATTAATGGGCCTAGCACAATGGCTCAGTGGCTAAAGCTTCACCTTGCACACACCAGAGTCCCACTTGGGTGCCAGTTCATGTCCCGACTGCTCCACTTCCAATCCAACTCCTTGCTTGTGGCCTGGGAAAACAGTAGAGGATGGCCCAAAGCCTTGGGACCCTGTACCCATATGGGAGACCCAGAAGAGAATGTTGATTCCTGGCTTCAAATTGACTCAGCTCCGGCCATTGAGGCCATTTTGGGAGTGAATTATTGGACAGAAGATCTTCCTCTCTGTCTTTCCTCTTTGTGTGTCTGACTTTCCAATAAAAATAAAATAAATCTTCTTTAAAAAAAGATTATTTTTATTGGGAAACCATAATTACAGAGAAGTAGAGACACAGAGAAGGATCCTCCATCCACTGACTCACACCCCAGCTGCAATAGCTGGAGCTGAGCCACTCTGAATCCAGGATCCAGGAGTCTCCTCCAGGCCTCCCATTAAAGTAAGGGTGTCAAGGCCCTGGACCATTCTCGACTGCCCTCCCAGGCCATAAGCAGGGGCCTTAATGGGAAATAGAGCAACCGGGACCAGAACAGCATCCATCTGGGATGCTTCCTGGTGCATGCAAGGTGAGGACTTCGGGCACAAGCTACAGTGCCAGGCCCCTCAGTGTTTCTTAATAGGGCAGTATTGCCGTTAGTTGACTGGGAAAGACTGTTATACAACTTTTCTCACTCTTGAAAAGTTGTAGTGTGTGTGTGTGTAACTGTTTCCAATAGCTAGATTTAGGAGTTTATAATAAATGTGGGTGGCCATCAGAACCCTTTACTGAATCTAATGTTCCAATTGGTTATGTGTCTCTGTTGACTTTCAGAAGCTTTATATACGTAATCTGAGTTAACTACTCAACTTGGAAGGCCTGTGGTTAGCACTAGTATCCGGGGACATATAAATATGAGTAAATAGGTTTATATCTTAATCCTTTTAACCAGCTTTTTAAAAGCTTTTAAGAGCTTTTCCTCTTCAGGCTAGTTTGGTAATAGATATTCTTCTTCTATTTCACTGAAACATTTCCTGTCTATTGGTAGCTTTTACATCTCTCATTCTGGTTATAGAAATCGGCAACTTCATTTTCAATGCATAATTCAGGATCAAGGCTTCTAGAAGGTATGAAAAGGAGAAAACTCATTTCAGAATCTTGACCTATCATTTTAAGATTCTTAACTTCTAAGGAGGAAATACTAAGAAATTCTGAGGAAGAAATACTAAGGAATTATGAGATGACGGAAAGTTAGTGGACATAACAAAAAGGGAATGGGCTGAATGGGATTATCCACAAAATCACTGAGAATTAAATATTGTTTACAGACTAGCTTGTAGAATCAATTGTCCATAACTAATGAGTACCCTCTTTCTTTTGCCTTTTGGTACAAAACAGTGAGACGGTTTAAGCGGAAGCAACTAACAGCCATCGAGTGCCAACATTTGGCTTGGAGTCATTTGGCTGTGACCCAGCCCTTCTGTCAGAGATGGACAAACAGAGATCCGAACCATGGTCTTTATCCTAGACCCAGAACAAAAAGAGGGAGGAGGGGTATGTCTTCCACAAAGTATTTTGCATTTAAAAATCTTTTGTCTGTGTGAGCTTTCAGTATCTCCCATCTTAGATGTATTTGTAAAATACAGCCTCTAATTTTGTAGTGTTGTTGAAATAGTATAATATTTTTACCCATTATTTCTATATTTTCCATAAAAGTGTGTGTGTGTGTGTGTGTGTGTGTGTGTGTGTGTGTGTACTTTAAGATTCATTTATCTATATGGAAGGTAGAGTTACAGCGGGGCAGGCAGTTGGAGACAGTGTGACAGAGATTGATTGATTGAAATTTCATCTCTGGTTCACTCCCCACATGGTTGCAGTGCTCCAGCTTGGGCTGTGATGAAACCAGGAAACTGAAAGTTCATCCATGTCTCCCATAGACTGGCAGGGACACTAGAATTCAGGCCATCCTCTGCTATTTTCCCTAGCACATTAGAAAGGAGCTAGACTGGAAGTGGATCAGCCAGGACTTCTGCCAACGTTCCTGTGTATGGTGCTGATTAACCCATGGCACCTCAGTGCCAGCTCCTGAAAATTCTGACTTGTTATAATGGTTGGTAAAAGCCTCAGTAACATGTTAAAATGAATTCATTAGCATGCAGAATTATATAGTGATATGAGTTATGGCCAATATCACCATTGTTTCAGTCCAGAAACACTATGATTACTTCATTTATCATTAGTCTTCTTGGTCAAATCCATCATTAGATCTACCATGTTATTAGCTTTTCTGCTGAAACGTTCTCAGGTGTTTTCATGGTAGACTTGTCCTTTGTCACTGGTAGCTGGACCACTGCAGGGACCCTTCTCCTTGACTTCAGATTTTCTTTCTTCCGAGTCAATATCTCGTTGATATTCTTGACTCTGATTGTTTTCTATAATGTCACAGTTGTGCTCAAGCACCTACAGTAAAATGTTTCTTTGTTCCTGTGGTGGCCTCAAGGTCACACTTGCCCATTACCTGATATTTGTTATTATTTATGAAAGTTCCACTTTTGGCAATTTGATCTCACAATGTCTCTACCTATCAATTGAATGCAACTTTTGTTCTTGCCCATTAATATAATCTAGGTTGCTTTACTTCTCTTTATATTAATTTCACAATCCAACTCAAATAATCATCTATGAATATTATATATGTTTTTTACTTCTGGAAACCACTGACAATAATTGTATGAAGAAATTTTAAGCTTAATCATATATTGTCTGATATTTAGCTTTTCTCATATGCCTGAAGCAGTTTTTTCTTTACTGACAGTGGTTTTGTAAGCATGGCCCTGGGCATATGTAGGTTCCTAACTGTTGCTATGACTAAATTCAACAACTAGGAAATAATCATGATTTAACCCATGCATGTTGACCTCAGATCTCTGGGTTTCTACCAGATTGTCCTGGAATCAGTCATAACTGCTTTTATTTTTCCCAATACAGAAAAAAAATAGTTTATTTTAAAATTCTTTTAAAGTTTAATTGTAGTTTCTTTCTCTCCATTCTCTTACTTTCCAAAGTGAAGATTTTGGCCGTTACCATTGAGAAAAGAACCATACATTAGTGGAGTATTTAAATGCTTCATTAGAATTTTAAAATGAGTTTTGAGAATCTGAAAATGCTGTAATCACTATTTGTACTCCCTCACGTGCCTGAAAGGTCTGGAGATCAGGACCATAGTATTTTTCACTCCATAGTTGTCTTGGAATCACAGGTGCTCAGCCAATTAAATAAACATGGAAGGGATTGGATAGCACTCTAACAGTATGAATTCTGATTCTGTCTTTTACATTTAAAAATGATGGCAGATTTACAGATTCTGAGTCCATACAAAGAATTTAACTCAATGAAATGAAAAATATATATAAATAGGATTTCCTGAATCCTGATTTCGTAAAGCATGTCCCTTCCCACCTACCTGAACTTAGACCTCGTAATGACAGTCAGGCAAGGTGCAGCTTGTGAGTGTGTGACTGTGAGCAATGCTTTTCTTTTTATCTGTCCATTTAGGTGTTCTGTATATAGCATAGGGCTCTGTACCTATAGATATTGCAAGGTGCAGTGTGGGCCATCACACAACTAAAGACTGGTTTCGGTCTTTATAATTATATAATAGAAACAGATAGACCTTTAGATTATTTTTACACGTATTTATATAGTGGGCTCGTAAATGTATTCCTATTTTTTGTCTATTAACATAGATAACTAAAACTTAGGTTGTCGTGTTGGGATCAAGGGCAGGTCAACAGTCACTGATGATTTCTTGTTTGTTTTGTGTGAGTTCTTCCTGCAGGTCGAGGATGTCAGAGACTCAGGTCTGAGTTCTTTCTAGCTGGCCAGCAGCAGAGCACCAATGACATGGCCAAGAGTAGTTCTATTGGCCAGGACAACTATCAGGACTCTGAGGATGACATGACTGTTCCAGCTGAGAACAGCAGTTCCCTCCCTCGGGAAGCTGATGGAGAAGTGAGAGTGGGCTCCTCGGCTTCTGCTCTGCCAATCAGGAAGCGATCCCGATCCTTTGAGGAAGAGGGCCATCAGACTATGGAGACCAGCCAGCGGGATGAAGTTTCTAAAAAAATGCCTCGACGTCTTGCGTCCCTGTCATGCACAAGGCCTGGGGAGACCAGACAGGAAGCAGAGGATTGCTTGTCACGTCTCTCTGCAGAACCAGGAGAAACTGACCAAGATGTAGAGGACATTGGTCCTGACCCCATTCCTGATCCCTGCTATGGGCTTCTTGGAGCCTTACACTGCGAAGACGCTCCAGGCCACATTTGTAGCCTGCCCAGGGAGGTTCTGAGACACATCTTTGCCTTTCTCCCTGTGGAGGACCTCTACTGCAGTGTGAGCTTGGTATGCCACCTTTGGAGGGAGATTATCATTGACCCCCTGGTAAGTAAAGAACCAAGTATGTGTGTTCGTTTACTGCATGGTTCTGATTGGAGAATTTCATTTGTCCTTCTTGCCAGTTCCTGTCAACACATACCTGTATTCTATTCACAACACATGGTTTGCTGTGTCCTGGGGAGATTGCACCTTCCAGACCTGCCTCAGGCTGCTCTAATCCCATCACCCTACCCAAAAGGCCCTTCATGTCACTGTTGATATCTTACCTGTACTTTAAAGTGTAATTCTTAAGGCTGGTTAACTAGTTCATCTTACTGAAATAATCACTTTGTTTTCTTTGTGCTATTATTGCACTTTGCACCTAGGCTACACTTTGTCAGGTGCTCTTTGAGAGAACTTTCCTCTCCACTTCAGAATAGTAGCTCATTGATAGAGACTGCTTGCTGAAAGCTTGTTGTAATTATGTTTAAATCACCGCTGTAGCTTGCAATGGGACTGAGTTGCCTGAAGTGCCTTCTGAGCTTGGTGCATTGGCAACAACCTATAGAAAAACGTCTTGATAAGACATTAGTCATTTTACTGCTCTTACTCCCTGTCCTCTCCTTTGATGTTCAGCTTTACTTCACTCATCTCACATTCTAGTTTGCCTGGGAGGATGTTTTGCTTAGCTTGCACCAGGGTACGTCAAAAAGTTTGTGGGAAAATATAATTAAATGCTTTTGTGAGGAAAACACCTTTGAAATCCATGCATATTTTGTTCATAATATGCAATTTCCATGAATTTTTTGAAGATCCTTCATATATCTCTTTAACCATGGGAAATAAGTCAGAAAGGTAGAGGTTAGCTCTCCATTCATCTATAATAAATTTTTTAAATTTTAGGAATGGAATGCAAGATAGACATGTTGATACTTGCCAGATTCTCTTCTAAGCACATAAGATTTTGGAGGAAATTTTACATCTAGCTTCTTTCTTTTTTAGGAGACTTAATTTCTAGGTTTTGAGAAATGTTCTGATTTTAGATATTGTGCCATGCTGCTGCTTTTTTTAAAACTTTTTTTAGTGTATTTATTTTTATTTGAAGGGCAGAGAAGGGGGGAAGAGATCTGATAGACTCTCAAATGTCTGCCACAACCAGGACAGGGCCAGGCTGAAGTTGGCTGAGTCTCCCAAATGGGTGGCAAGGACCCAGGTACTTGGGCCATCACTTGCTGCCTCCCAGGGTGTGCATTAACAGGTAACTGGAGTAAGTTGCTGAGCTGGGAACTTGAACCAAGACTGTATTTGGGGATTCAGGTTTGCCAAGTGGCAACATGAGCATTGTACCAAATGTCTGCCCTAGTGTGTCCTAATATTCCCTCTCCCCACTAAATCGAGATTTTTAATGTGAATTAAATAGTTGTAGATGGAAATAAGTGAGGATTTTCTTCAGTCTAGAAGATTTTTTGGGAGTATGTCCCAACTTGTACTTATCTCATGAAATGTTACAAAAATGCCATTTGGGGGAGTGAACCAGCAGTTGGAAGCTCTCTCCCACTGTCTCTCCTACCTGTATTTGCCTTTTGCATAAAAACAAAACACATCTTTTTTAATGAGATTTATTCATTTATTTGACAGAGTCACAGAGAGGGAGAGGTAGAGGAAGAAATCATCTACCTTTTGGTTCACTCCCCAGTTGACTCAAATAACCAGGGCTGAGTAAGACCAAAGCCAAGAGCCAGGAGCTTCATCTGGATCTCTCTGGTGGGTGTGGGTTAACAAGCGTTTGGGCCAAGCTCTACTACTTTCCCAAGCCGTTAGCAGGGAGTTAGAACACAAGTGGAGCAACTGGGACTCGGTACTCTACTCGAAAGAGCACCCAGTGGGAGAGCTGGTTAACCCTCTGCATCATGTAACACCAGTTTGTTCTTTCCCTGTTTTCTTGTAGAGTAACACTAAGTTGTTGATTTTGAATCTGTCTACTTTTTAAGCATTTATAACTGTAAAGTTCCCTTTTCCTACATTCCATAAATGTTGGTATGATATGTTTTCATTCTTTATATCAAGGTATTTTCTAATTTTCTCTGTGATTTCTCCTCTCCTTTAACCCATTGGTTGGTTATTGTGTGATTTGTGTTGCTGGGGCCAACATTGTGCATAGGGAGTGATGCTGGCATTCCTTATGGGTACCAATTTCAGCTGCTCCACTTTTCAACCCAGCTCTCCACTAACAGGAAAACACTTGAAAATGTCCCATGTGGGAGACCTGGAGGAAGTGCCCGGCTTTGGAAAAGCTCAGATCTGGTCATTGTGGCCATCTGGAGAAGGCCCCAGTAGATACAGAGATACAGATCTCTCTGTATCTGTAACTCTGTTTCAGATAAATAAATACAAGTTTTTAAAAAATTGTTTAATTTCTATGTATTTATGGATTGCCTAGTTTTCTTCTGCTGTTGATTTTATTTCACTGTGATTTAAAAAAGATACTTTGTGTAATTTCAGTCTAGTACAATGGGATTTGTTTTATAACCTAACGTGTGTTCTGTATATAATCCAGAAGAGGGTACATTCTGCTGCTGTTGGATGGAGTGTTCGACATACATCTATTAGGTCTGATTATTCTAACAGCAGAGCTCAAGTCCCTTTTCCTTATTCACCTGAGTGGTTCTTCTCGTCTTGACATTGGAGTATTGAAATCTCCTATTGTCATTGTATATCACCATTTCTCCCTTCAGTTCTGTCATTGTTTGTGTTTTGTATATTTAGTAGCTCTGATTTTAGTGCATATTACCTGTGTTGCTTGAGTTGATTATTATATATTGTCATTCTTTGTTTCTTGTAGCAGTTGCTGACTTACGGATTATTTTTGCTTGCTATCTACAGGCACAGATTTTGTTATTTTATCCCCATTGAAATTCTTAGTTTTTAGTGTCTTGATGTTTCAAACAAAAAAAGCAGTGTTGCTTTTCCCCAAGTCAATAGTAAGTTGGTGTTAAAACCAGGACCAAGACTCAGTGCTCCTCATTTCTAACCAAACTTTGTGTAATATGTGTGCCTGATTTACTCAGCTTTGGAACTGTGAGCTAATCTTGGTAAAGTATATTGGACCTGCTTATTTTTTAATTATACAGTTCGTCCCTTGGAAAAAGCTGTATCATCGATACCTGATGAATGAGGAGCAAGCTGTCAGCAAAGTGGATGGCATCCTGCTGAACTCGGGCATAGAAAAGGAGTCAGACTTGTGTGTGCTGAACCTCATACGGTGAGCTTCATTTTCCTGTGAGGAAGGGATTTTGAAGTCCTTTCTCATACGCCAGTGCTGATGGACTCATCTATGCATGTCTCACAGATTTACAGCCACTACAAAATGCTCCCCAAGCGTGGATCCTGGAAGGGCGCTGTGGAGTCTGCGAGACCATCCCCTGCGCCCCGAGGCAGAGGCCTGTGTGCGTCAACACCTGCCGGACCTCTACATTGCTGCTGGGGTATGCCAAGGGCCTATGAGGAATTATGTGAGAAAGTGGACAGGTTTTCATTTGGAGAAAGTTTGTGACTCAAGATTATATTAATTTCAAAATCTTTAGTCTCTCAATGCTTTGAAACATTAACCTTGTCATTGTTCCTAGTGGAGAAATAAAAGGCCATACCATTCCGGATTCAAATTTGGAAAGTTTGTAAAAACATTTCCTTCATTTTCCTATTCTATTGAGGAATTCTTTCTGAAATATTCCTAAAACGTGGTCATCTAGCCTTTGAGCATTTTTAATAATAGAATTGCTTTATTATTTGTTTATTTAAAAAGCACAATGCCATTCTGCTTCACTTCCCAAATGACCACAGTGGCCAAGTCCCTTTGGGGTCTCCTGCTTGAGTTGGCAGGGGCTCAAGCACTTGAGCCATTGCTTGCTTGTTTTCAACATTTAAAAAAAATATATTTATTTCATTCTTTTTTTTTATCGAAAAGTCAGATTTACAGAGAGAAGGAGAGATAAAGATCTTCAATCTGCTGGTTCACTCCCCAAGTGGCTGCAACAGCCGGAGCTGAGCTGATCTGAAGCCAGGAACCAGGAGCCTCTTCTGGGTCTCATATGTCAGTGTAGGGTCCCAAGGCTCTGGCTATCCTTGACTGCCTTCCCAGGCTACAAGCAGGGAGCTGGATGGGAAATGGAGCAGCCAGGATACAAACTGGCACCCACGTGGGATCCCAGTGCATACAAGGTGATACTTCAGCCACTAGGCTACTGCTCCAGGCCCTCATTGCTTGTTCCTACCTAGGCAGATTAGCAAGCAGCTGGATTAGGAGCAGAATAGTTTGGACTTGAATTAGCACTCTGATAAGGGCTGGTGGCATCATAGTGGGTGTAATCCACTGTGTCACAACTAGCCCCAGAGTTTCTTTACAAGATAGCCCATTGGAGAAACCGAGGCTCTGCTAAGGACATACAGTGAGATAACAGGATCTGGAAGTAGCCTCCAGCTTCCTGAATTTCAGTCGTGTCAGATCAGGGATTTTCACATTTTGTCTGGATGCTGTGTGCAGCCTCACCTATATTCTGCTTGCCACAGCAGTTGGAACTCAAAACATCTTCGGGTTTGTTTCTGTGTTCTTTTAGGTGAAACAATGGCTGATAATGATGGAGTGGGTTTTCTTTAATAGTGTGGTTTTAGTGGGAGGGGCATGGGATTATCCATTCTTAAAATAGGTTCTGTATTAGGTAGAATTGTGCTGATGTAACAGTGGTATGTGTTAGTGAACATTTACTTAGAAATTGCAAAAAGGGGCATACTGTTGTCATAAAACAAAATTTTAATGTTTAGTTGTTACTTAATAGTTATTCAATAATAAAAGAAATAGTAAATTAGCATCGTTGGTGTTCTTGGTTTCCTCTCCCAGCACCACTCCCAGGTAGGCACTCATTAGCTAACTCCCTTCTTTGGATCCTACTGAGTACTTGTAGAGCACAGAGCTCCCAGTGACCTAGAGAGAAGCAGTGGAAAAATGACCTGGAATTCCTGTTGATGATGAGAAGGAATCTAGGGCAAAACAAAAGGTTCTCTGTTTCCCACAATTCGGTTTGTAGATAGCACCCAAACCCCGGACTTGCTTTCCTCGATGGCTTCCTGGTTTTTATTCCTGTATCTGGGTCTCTCTTCCCCATCCTGTGCACATCTCTCTACAGGGCGTCAACGTCTGGGCTTTGGTAGCAGCCATGGTGCTCTTGTCCAGCAGTGTGAATGACATCCAGCAGCTGCTCTTCTGCCTCAGGAGACCCAGTTCCACAGTGACCATGCCAGACATCACTGAGACCTTGTACTGCATAGCTGTGCTTTTGTATGCCATGAGGGAGAAGGGCATTAACATCAGCAATAGGTAATAACCAGAGAGGAAGAGAGCAAGTCCTGACTTGGCACCAGCTCCAACCCTGCTGCGTAGCACTGGCTCTTATGCTTCTTTGAATGTTTGTATTTTCAGCTTACAGCTGGTATTCCTGTTGGCTGAGAAATATATCCTGGTTTTATTCTCCCTTTGATGTTTATGTAGTAGTTTCCAGGAATGATGTTCTCTAAGAATGCTTCTGTCACTTGCAGATAGATTTAAATTCTTTTTTTTTTTTTTTTGCGCTTTTTTTTTCTGTAAACTGGTGATTTGGTTTTTTAAGATTTTTATTAGAAAGGCAGATTTGCAGAGAAAGGGAGAAATAGAGAAAGGTCTTCCACCTGCTGGTTAACTCTCCCAAATGGCTAAAATGGCCAGAGCTGAGCCAATCTAAACCCAGAAGTCAAGAGCTTCCTCCAAATCTCCCATGTGGGTGTAGGGTCCTAAATCTTTTGGCCATTCTCCACTGCTGTCCCAGGCCATAAGCAGGGTGCTGGATGGGAGTAGCTGGGACAAAAGCTGGCATCCATCTGGGATGCCAGCAGTTGTAGGTAGAGGGTTAGACAATTGAGCCATCATCTTGGCCCCAAACTGGTGACATTTTTTGACTTTTTGTTTTGAGTGGAGATTCAGAGGCCATTTTTTTTTTAACTTTGTTTTGATTGGAGGATCAGAGAGAAAAAAAAGAGACCACATGTGTATACGCAGAAGCTAAATTTCCCACCAGCTGGTTCACTCCCTAAGTGCCTGCACTGGCCTTCAGCTGGGTCAAAGCCAGAACCAAGAACTGAACGCAGATCTCCTTGTGGGTCACAGGAACCCATTCGCTTGAGCCATCATTGCTGCTTCCCAGGGTCTGCATTAGCCATAGGCTGCAGTAAGGTGCCAAATCTGATGTCAAAATCAGGTATTCTGATGAGGGACAAGGGCATTTTAACTGCTGGGATAAGTATCTGCAGCAAATGGTACAATTTTCAGAAATGGTAAGCAATTTGAATGTATCTGAAGAAAAAATAAGATACAGACTGTGACCGGAATTTGAAAATTTTCTGTATTTACTTTCTTCCTATTAGGATTCACTACAACATTTTCTATTGCCTGTATCTTCAGGAGAATTCTAGTTCCCAGGTCTCAGAAAGTAAAGAGGAGCCATCTGTTTGGTCAGGGTACGTATGCTGATACATAATAGGTGTGTGTTTCCTCTCGTCTTTAGGGAGTGGAGTTGTTTTATTTTGGTTTTTTGTTATAACAACCTTATTGTGGCATAATTGATGCTATGGACAACTCACTCACTTTAAGACTGTAGACACAAAGATTTTTGGTTAAACTTGCTGAATTGCTGCTGCCATCGTGATCTAGTTTTATCCCCTTAAAGGGAGGCCTTTTGGGAATCTAAGTTTATCTGCTTCCAGTTGTTTCATTACTTCTTTTTCTTATTTCTCATGACTGTAGCAAGAAAACAACCATCCAACTTACGCATGAACAACAATTGATTCTGAACCATAAGATGGAACCTCTTCAGGTGGTAAAAATTATGGCCTTTGCAGGTAAGGGAGCTTGCCTTAGCTTCCTGTGTGGTATGATATGTCACACATACTGTGTGTGATACAGTTTTTTCCTTTTTTAACTGCATTGCATTCCTGCTTCCTGGCAGGGCATCTTTTTGTTTTGGTTTGGTTTTTTGTATTGTTTTGTTTTGTTTTGTTTTTTTTAAGATCTATATGTTTTGATTAGAAAGGCAGATTTACAAAGAAAAGGAGAGACAGAAAGATCTCTGATGTGCTGATTCACTCTCCAAATGGCCACAATGGCTAGAGCTGAACCAGTTTGAAGCCACCAGGAGCTTCCTTCAGGTCTCCCACCGGGGTGCAGGGTCCTAAGGCTTTAGGCTGTCCTCCACTGCTTTCCCAGGCCACAAGCAGGGAGCTGGATGAGACGTGGAGTAGCCGGGACATGAATTGGAGCCCATATGGGATCCCAGCACTTGAAGATAAAGGATTAGGCAATTGAGCCACTGCACAAACTCCTTTGTTTTTATTTTTATTTGCAAATCAGAGTTACAGAGAGAGAGAGAAAAGGAGATCTTCCATCCTCTGGTTCCCTTGTTAGGTGGCCATGATGGCCAGGGCTAGGCCAACCAAAGCAAGGAGCCAGGGGCTTCATTCAGTCTCCCACATGGGTGATGTGCCCCAAACAGTTGGGCTGGCTTCTGCTTCCTTTCCCAGGCCATTTAGCAGGGAGCTGGATCAAAGGTACTCAAACATTCACCCACACAGAAACAATGCCAGCATTGTAGGCAGCAGCTAAAAAGCTACACCACCCCCCACCAGCCAGAGCATCTTTACTTTGATCTGTTATCAATGAACTTAGTTGAAGTAATCTCAAAAACATTAGAATTCTTATCTAGACAGATGAGAACTAGCTTGTAGGTAGATGGCAGTGGGATTGATTAGTCCTTTCCTTCATCTGTCATTGGGTGTGTACACTCGTATACTCACAGGTTATTTTCGGAGGTGGAGCATGTTACTCCCCTGCTTAGATAGTTTTAGTTGCTTCCTACTTTTGACAAGGGAGATTTTGAGAACCCTCCCTCCTTTGGTGCTGAGTTACTTTCCTAAAGATATTGTGCGCTGTTTTCCTGTCTCAGTCAACTATGCTGCTTAATTTACAGCCGCCTGAAGTACTTGGCTACTATTTTATCTGAACTTTTGTTCCAGTTGTTTTCTCTAACTGGAACCCCTTCCTGCTTTTCTGCTTAAGTATTCTAATAACAATAATTTCTGTCTGCAGTGTGCATGGCTGGTCCTAACAGCATTCTATAAAGTTAATTATGTTTACTTATTTTAAAAATTAAGGATATTGAAACTCTGTGTGTGATTTGTTTAATTACACATAGCAAGTCCTTGGTAAAACCAGAATGTGACACTGGCTCTTTCTGTCCAAAAATACACATTTTTTTTTCTTCATTTCTTCCTAGCTAGTTGTTTTCTTCTCAATTAGATTGCAATATATATATATATATATTTAAATATACTCATAGTGATTAACATACAGTTGAACGTGAAGTAAGTGCTCAGTAAATATTTATTAAATGAGTGGCAAGCATTTGATCCAGTTACGACTTACATATGTTGTCTATGGGGGTGGCTGGCATCTGTACCAGCCTCTGGCTCCTGACCCAGCCTCCTGCTAATGCAGATCTTGGAGGTGGTGGAGATGGCTTAGGTAATTGGATTCCTGCCACCTACTTGGAAGCCTGGATGGAATTCTTAACTTCCTAGCCCTGGGCCCAGCCTGGGTCTCTTATGAACCATGAAGAGCAAACTAAAGATCAGTGAGCTCAAGTGACTTGCTGTTTATTACTCAGCTAGAACCTACAGAGCCAGGATCCTAGCCATTGTTATATTCTGGTTTTGATGTCTCCTGGTCTAAGTAATGAAACTTTGTTCCTGTCTTGGCATCAGGCCAGTGTCAGGGTAAGTCTGGACAGGACCTGATCTGATTAGAATCAGGCCTGTTTTGCCTGACCAGAGGATTACATTTTCTTCTCATGTTTTTCTCAGGCACTGGGAAGACCTCTACTCTTGTCAAGTATGCCGAGAAGTGGTCTAAGAGCAGGTTTCTCTACGTGACTTTCAACAAGAGCATTGCAAAACAAGCAGAGCTTGTCTTCCCCAGCAACGTCATCTGCAAAACTTTTCATTCCATGGCCTACGGACACATTGGGCGGAAGTGAGCATTAGTAATGCTGGCATGTTTGGCATGTGATTTTTTTTTTTTTGTATCATACATGAATCTACATCATGACATTAAGAAAATACAATGTTGTTATCTCCATTTACAGGCCAGAGATAAATATATGATTTGGATAGATAGACTGAGATAGTGATTTATACTTCTATCTGTTACTTGGCCATTGATAGTATCTTGTTGAGGTACATTTTCAGTTATCTGTAATTGAGGCACTGAAAGTTGAAATGACTTAGTTGAAGTTTGAGGTCTCACAAATTTTGGTTAGTTTTAGATTTGGCCTTGGAAAGCTGGGGAGGTGGGACACTATGTATAGGTGTCCTTGCTCCAGCTTACCTGGTTGTGGAGGTTCTAAGGAATTTTGATGGTGCAGGAGGGGAACCTCTTGGAAGCTGGACCACATATTGGAATAGCAATTTCTGCTATGGGCCGATTCTGTGCTATTGTATGTGAATTCCCAAAAGCCTCTTATAAGCTGTTTGAGTGAGATGTATATCTAACTTTTCTGGCTTGGAAGAAGTTCTGTCTCGTGTCTGGCACCTTGAGCTTCCTTGTGTTGTTATAGACAGTGGGGATACTAAATGCTTCAGTGCCGCAAAGTCAAATACTATTTATTTGGTATGTGCATTGCAGGTACCAGTTGAAAAAGAAGTTGAATCTCTTCAAGTTAACACCCTTCATGGTCAATTCGGTTCTTGCTGAAGGGAAAGGTGGATTCGTAAGGGCCAAGCTAGTATGTAAGACTTTAGAAAACTTCTTTGCCTCGGCCGATGAAGAGCTGACCATCGATCATGTGCCTATTTGGTGTAAGAACACCCTAGGACAAAGAGTCATGGTGGAACAGAGTGAGAAACTGGTGAATATCCCTGTACCTTACGTGTTAGAGATGTGGGGATAAGGACAAGAATTGGCACAGTGTAGTAAGCTTTCTGTAGGAAGTCGCCGGTGTATGGGGAGACTGTAGCCCCAGAGCAATACCCATGGGTTGCATGGTATTTTCTCCTGTGAAATACACTCTTGGACCTCTCACCTTGTTCTCATCACAATTCCCCTATGTGACAGATAAAATACATGATTGACCTGCTCATGATTTATTAGTACTTCTTGTTGGATAGTCTGGTTGTAACACCTGATCTTACTTGATGACTAAGAATCTCATTTTTTTTCTGCCATTCATTCTGCATAGATTTTGCTAACAGAAGAGTCTATTACTTTTCATCAAGACTATTCATCATTTGCTATTCTTTTTATGAATTAAGTATCAGTGCTAAATCTAGAAAAATGATTCTGTTTTAATCCCTATGCAGTGCTCTGTCATGGATTTGGTACATCTCCTCTCATTTTTCTTGGCACTGAAAACTACCCTCCATGGTGCTTAGAGGCTGTCAGGAAGCCTTAGGAGGTTAGGGAGGTGCCTGTCACTCACCATTCTGTGATGATGCTTTTGCTGTGAGTACTGTCTGTGGAAATGAAAGTGTGAGTTCAGGGTGCTCTGTCTTTTCCAAACTCTTAAAGTATGAGTTAACCACATTATTTGCTTCCCAGAATGGTGTCCTTGAAGCAAGCCGACTCTGGGACAACATGCAGAAGCTGGGGGAATGCAAAGAAGAAGCTTACCAAATGACGCATGATGGTAGGCCGTTTTCCAGACGCTGATATCTGTCAGATGTAACTGTTTTCCTCCTGAGTTATGACTCATGCTATTCCCTTCTTTTAGGCTATTTGAAACTCTGGCAGCTGAGCAAGCCTGTGCTTGCCTCTTATGACGCCATCTTTGTGGATGAGGCCCAGGACTGTACCCCAGGTGATAAACTATTCAGGACATCTGTAGTCTCAAATACATAGAAACAGCATCATGATTATGTAAGAGGACATATGTGTGAAATAAGTTGATAATTATTATTTGTGATAAAGAAGAGGAGCAAATGATACTTGGCCAGTCAGAAATCCTTTTACTTGAGTTAGGACTTCAGCTGTCCTTTTCACACACCCAAGGCAGGCTTATTTCCTTCATATGTTTTGCTTATGATGTTCTTAAAATGTTTACAGAGTATCTGTTAGTCACCAGCTGATAAGGGCTCTAGGCTCATTCTGATAGCGAAAATTCTGTGTAATATATTTTTCAAGTAGCTATATGTTTTAGAAACCCAACACAACTTTTTGGTGTTAGTTAACACAATTTGCCTTAATTTCTACTTGCCTGTATATCCTCTTAGTGATAGTAATTTTCATCCAGAAAGTAAAAATAATCTGCATTCCTAGGACCAGAAAAATTCATTTCCTATTATAAAATTATTTCTTTTGAGTGAATGGAGCGAATGTGCCTCTGTGGCAGGAAGAGGCAACTTTGTTGTCCTGCATACTTCATACTTCTCAATTTTCCTGCTTTCTTGCTTGCAGCTATCATGAATATAGTTCTGTCTCAGCCATGTGGGAAGATCTTTGTAGGGGACCCGCACCAGCAGATCTATACATTCCGTGGTGCAGTCAATGCTCTGTTCACGGTCCCCCACACTCATGTCTTCTATCTCACACAGGTAAGAGCACTGTTTGCTTTGAGTCCCCAGAAGTGTACAAGCAAGCCTTTGATTTTTCCTGCTAGCTTTCTTATGTGCCAGGCACTGTGAAAGACATTATGACAGGTCATGGAATACGCAAATCCTTTTTTTTTTTTTAAAAAAAAAGATTGATTTATTTTAATTGAAAAGGAAGATTTACAGAGAGAAGGAGATAGAGAAAGATCTTCCTTCTGCTGGTTTATTCCCCAAAGTAGCTGCTTCAGCCAGAGCTAAGCCAGTCTAAAGCCAGGAGCCAGAAGCTTCTTCTGGGTCTCCTACACAGTAGAGGATTCCAAGGTTTTGGGCTGTCCTCTGCTGTTGAAGTGGAGCAGCCAGAACATATGGGATCCCAGCATGTGCAAGGCAAGGATTTAGCCACTGAGCTAAATCATGCTCATGCTGGGCTGCAGTCATGGTGGGCTACAGCATTTGGTTGTCAGAGGGCCTACAAAGTTGGGGTCCTTTTTTACAGTATTGATAGTCACACTGGTAGTGCAAAGCAGTGATACATAAAAATGCTGGCAGCTACTACGAATCAAGGTGTTGACACCAAATTAAACTAGCAGTGTTATATTTTTCAACACATTCAGGGTAAAAAGAAAATCCAGCAACTCACTCAAGAATGTCTTTGATGGTACACATGCAAAATTAATAGTTATAGACCCATTAGTATGTTTCAGTATTCTGTTGAAGTGAGAGGTGTGCCTGGGGAATTTGTAAACTGAAAAGGGACCCTATTGCAGTTGAGTTGTGAACCGAACTGGCAGCTTTTTCTTAAATTTCTTTTACTTAAAACAAAACAAAACAAAAAAAAACACTGAAAGATCAACTCTAATTATTCAGACTTAAGTGCTTGATGTTAAGATAATTGAAATGAGCAGTGTGACTTTAAGGAAAACTAAGAGTGTGTGCTACCAAAGATGAAATTGTTGCATTCCAGGGAAGTTAAAATTTGGGAAAACTTGTATGAACCACAGCGAGCTTGGGAGCTCCTGGATCTTTAAGTAGATGAAAACGTGATAAACATCTCTCCCGTTGTACCTGCACATCTGTAAGAAGCTATGTTTCTTCATGAACTTTAGCCCGGACAGTATATCGCAGTTGTGGAATCAGCTTGGAGTAGTTACTTTTTCTGTGGCCACTGTTGCTCTAGAACAGTTTTAGATATACAGAAACATTGAGAAGTCAATTTCCCCTATTATTAGTATGTTGTTTTAGTGTGGAGCACTTGGCCACTAATACTGAACCAGTACTGATACATAATTATAAAGCAAAGTCAAAGTTCATTCAGATTTGCTTACTTTTAAGTTGTGTTTTTAGCTACTCCAGGATCTTGTTCAATATGCCACCTTGTATCCAGACCACCTTGAATGTGGTCATGTCTCCCTAGACTCTATGGTTGATTTGTTTTCTTCTCAGAGAGAGAATGATCAATCCATTTTCCATCTACTAGTTCTCTCCCAAAAAGTCAGCAACAGCCATTGCTAGCCCATGCCCATCCTGGTCTCGCATGTATGTGGCAGGGCTCCAAGCACACAGACCACATACTGCCACTCAGGATGCATTAACAGGGAACTATATTGAAAGCAGAGGCGATGGGACTCAGACTCACAGTCCTGTATGGAATGGGGTGTCCCAAGAAGCAACTTTTCTTGCTGTGCCACAATGCCCATCCCCACCTTAATAATTCTTAACTGATAGTTTTTCAACCTTTCCAATTGGGTTTATGGACAAACAAATTTTTAGAAATATTTCGTAGTGTTCCCTATGCTGGAATTTGTCTGATGTTGTTTCCTCGTTGTTAGACTAAAGCTATGGGTTTTAGGAGGAAGATAAATAGTGCTATTTCATCACATGCATTAGAGGTCATTAATGTGGTTTATAATGATATTTGCTGGTCTCTCCACAGTGGTCATTCTTTTCCCCTGCCTTTTTCTATTGTATGCTTTGGAAGGAAGTTCCTATACAGAGCTCATACTCTGGATATAAATGTTGGAGTATTTAAATAAATTCTTTGAAATTATTATGCAAGGAAATAGAATCTTCATTCATTCATTTAGTATTTACTCATTTGTTTATTCAGATACATATTTCAGTATAGACTAATGAATATTCATTTTATGATTTGGGTTATGATTTACACAAGAGTAGTAATATGGCAACAAAAATAATGCTTCTTGAAAAATCTAATTTTCTGTGACCAGCAGTGTGGTTACGCTGCTTCCATTCAAGCATCTCGTGTAAGTGCTGGTTCAAGTCCCAGCTGCTCTGTCTCTAATCCAACTCCCTACTGGTAGGCCTGGGAAAGTAGCAGAAGATGGTCCTAGTGCTTGGGCCCTTTGCCACCTACATGGGAGATCTGAATGGAGTGCTAGACTCCTGGCTTTGACCTGTCCCAGCCTTGATTGGTAAGGCCTTTTGCAGGCAATAGACCATTGATGGAAGATCATTCTGTCTGACCCTCCCTCTCTGTCTCTTTCTTTTTTCTTCCCTTTCTCTTTGTAATTGTGCCTTTCAAGTAAATTAGTAATTTTTTTATTTTTTAAAAAAATCTAGTTTTTCTTTGACAGGTTATTTACTGAAGCATGTTTATGCTGTTGACCAAAGGATGTGATACTTTTCTACCTTAATTTTATGAATATATAGGAAAAGGGTAAATAAATATTTTCGTTTTGGGAAGAACAGATGTAGCTGGAATGTTCAAGAAAGTAGGTTTGTGAACTGAGCTTTGAAGACTAGGGAATGACTTTGATAGGTGAGTGGAACTTCCAGTTTGATTAAAATCAGCAGGTGGCAGGGGTGTATTGGGAATGCTCAGGCAATAATGATCCTTCTTGTGGCTGGTAAATACAAGGAAGTGGATTTAACAATAATCTTGATAATAAAGGGAGAAATTGCCCCCCTCTTAACTTTTTGTATAATTTATAGTTTGCAAAGTTTGTTTTGGAAAAAGTAGATTTGCTTAAAAGAAGTTTGCTTCTTGTATTGGGAATAATGAAAAGTAATGGTTGTCCAGATTGTTCCAAGGATCTTAGAAATGAGTCCATAGTTTAATTCTGTGTTTATTGCTCTTATTTGGAGTGTTGTGGAAAGTAGGGTAGTAAGGGGAGGATCTAATCAAAGCGTTTGGGAAAAATTACCTGGCAGAAATAAAGACAGTAATTTGCTTTGGGAAGAGATCAGGTAAAAAGGCCAAAAAACTCAAGCATGAAGTTCAGATTGTTAGCTAAGTTGGTAACCAAGATTAAAAAGTAAGTAAGTAAATAAATATGTAGGATGGTGTAAAAATTGTCAGGATTTTGTGGGAAGGGATGAGGAAAATAAATTAGGCAGAAGTATAGAGAGAAGGAGAGAGAGAGATCTCCCATCCTCTGGCTCACTCCCCAAATGGCTACTGATAGTAGTTATTGCTGGGTTCCCATATTGGTGTAAAATGGTTTTTCACTAGGCAGTTTCCAATTCCCCTGTCAATGTGGGGTGGTCAGACCTTGGCAGTGATAGAAATGTGTGCCGTTGGTCAGCATGGGCTGATAACTCCTTTTGGTTTGTTGTTTTCTAACAGAGCTTTAGGTTTGGTGTGGAAATAGCATATGTGGGAGCTACTATCTTGGATGTCTGTAAGAGAGTAAGGAAAAAGACTTTGGTTGGAGGAAATCATCAGAGTAAGATTTTCCATTTCGCTTATTTGTTACAAAAAATAGTTTTCTTTTTTATTTTGGTTCACCATAGAGTTTTTGTTTTCCCCCTAAAGGTGGCATTAGAGGTGATACAAAGGGGCAAGTAGCCCTGTTGTGCCGCACCAATGCCAATGTGTTTGATGAAGCTGTACGGGTGACTGAAGAAGTATCATCAAGGATACATTTGATTGGGGTAAGAGTACATTTCTGTTGAATACTTCCTGTGCAAAATTTTTGCAGACAAGTATGTCCAATAAAAATACTCAGTTGGGATTATTACACCAGAAAACATTTGAGGTTTTTGACTACACCATGACTAAAGTCTACCCTTGGCAATTCTCAATATACTAGTGAAATATTCATTTGAAATTAGACCCAGTAAGGACTAAGCATCTTTCACTCTTTAAAAACCAAATACCCTTTAATCCCGGACTACTCAAATGAGGCTGTTAGCTACCTGAAACTTCTAATTGTGTGTTGTCACTTAGTATAAGTACAGCTGAGCCAACAGCACACTGGAAAGCACCATTTATTCTTAAAACACATGAAGCTAAATACCTGGGTTCTAGCTCTGGCTCTGTCACTAACCTTGTGTAACTTGGGGCAAGTCACAACTTGTGTGTGCCTCATTCTCTCCATCTCTAAAATAAAAACAATTCCTTTTCTTTACCTGTTTCACAGGGAAAACTTTCACAGAAAGACTAAATGACATGTTGAATTTTTAACTGAATCAAAGGGATATGACTAAAAGACATTCATGTACAGAAAAATATTTTTGAGGGCCTACTAGGTAATAAGCACTCAAATATAGTCAGTGAATCTTCAAAGGTATTTTAAGGTTTTTATTTATGCAAATCATATAACTTTGTTATGGAAAATGTGGAAACTGAAAGGGAAAAAACAGTTCCAGTATTTCATACAAGAATTCACATTTTTGCTAATTATTTTTGTCTTTGTCCTTACAAATGTGTACTTTTGCATAATTAGAGTTATGGTGTGCAAAAAAAATGTATGCTGTTTTTCATTCAACATGTAAACATATTTTCTTTCATTCCTACTTTAATAGTTATACAGTATTTCACCTAATGGAGATAGCATAATTTAGCCATTCTCATTACTCTAAGAGAATGCTATTTTGGGAATATCATCCATGCAGGGAATGCAATAAAGTGAGTTGTTCTCTTCCCTTCTCTTGCATCCATTGTTTATCTGTAGCATGTGTCATAATACTTGATCTCACATCTGGTTGTGAATTGCAATGTATACTGTCTTATTTCAGTTTCTGTTGTATGTCAGCGTTTTATGTGTCCCTTCCCCAAAGATAAAAAGCCTTTGGGGTGTGGAGCCCTTGTCATGCCAGTCTTCAGTGCGGGGCCTGGTACTTGTGAGTACTGGAGGCAGGTACTTCCTAGGTGGAACAGGCCTGATCTGTGGTACAGGCAGGTTCTTTCCTCTAAAGCCATGGAATAATCTGGATTCCATAGACAGACATTCTCTAGTTCTTGTAAGAAACAGTGGTAAGTATTCAAGCTCAATACTTTGTATTCTAATACCATTTGTATTCTTTGAAACTATTTTGTGTTCCTGCAAGATAGACTTAAATCACCCTTGTATTGATGGGACAGCCACGAGCAGCAAGGACTGTCTTAAAAAAATTAAAAAGCCATAGGAAGAGTGTGACTTAACCACCAAGACTTGGTAATTTTTTTGAGTTTTGGGTGGTACTTTGTACTTGTTAAAGTTTCCTGCTTTCTGCCTGTCCGTTGGATATAACTGGAGATCTGTCCCCAAGAAACCATCTCATTTCAGAATCCTATCACTGCATTTGTTTCGTGAAATAGCAAGAACAAAAAATAAATAATAAAACAAAAAACCAAAAATCCCACCAAAAAAAAACTTTTTCAGGGGATTAAATCATTTGGATTGGACAGAATCATTGATATTTGGACCCTTCTTCAGCCAGAGGAAGAACGGAAGAAACGTGAGTACCACCTGGCTCTGGTGCAATAGAAGGAAGCACTCAGCGACAGGGATGGGCAAGGAACAGGCCAGTTCTGAGTCAGTGTTCCTGTGTCTTCCTAGAGACCAGGCACTGATGTTACTGTTTTCCTATAAAGACTAGAATGTCTCAGGTCTCCTGTTTTCAGAGATCCTGGCAGATTTTTTTCCAGATCTTTCTCCCAGCAGTCTCATTTCTTTCTGATTTTGGTCCCTTAGGCTGTCTAGCTCCACATCTTTCAGTCTTCCTGGGCAACTTTACAGTGATAATGTCCATGTGGGCCCCAAAAGATAACCTCTGACATTTCTGTAACAGTTGTTACTTTTACTTTTTCCTTTGACTGCACTGAACCAAATCCCTGTGAAGTAGGTGAGGATCTCAAGGGTAGGGCTGTCAATCCTCAGCTGGAGACGGAGAGACTACTACACTGACATGCCCAGGAGCACACAGAGTTAGTGATGCAGTCAGGACTAGAACCTGGGTCTCCCAACTTCAAGACCACCTGCTGTCATGCGTTGGCTAGGAATATGCAGCTACTGCCACCAGTTCTTAGCGTGGCCTCCGTCATGGTAATCCATGTGTGTGTTCTCCTTAGGGAACCTCATCATTAAAGACAGATTTATCAGAAGATGGGTGCACAAAGAAGGCTTTAGTGGCTTCAAGAGGTATGTCACTGCTGCCGAGGACAAGGAGCTTGAAGCAAAGATTGCAGTAGTTGAAAAGTATAACATCAGGATTCCAGAACTAGTAGAAAGGATAGAAAAATGCCATATAGAAGACTTGGACTTTGCAGGTAAGAAGAAAAAAATGATTCTTTCCTTTTGCAAAAGGAAGAGTAGATGGTCTTTGATATTTGTTTGTTGAATTTTTATTTATTTTCATTTTATATGAAAGTTGGCATGGAGAGAGATGAAAGGAGTGATGGAGAGGCAAGTGTTGCATACATTTGTTCATCTCATAATGTCCATAATAGCTACAGTTGGACCAGATTGAACCTAACAGTCCAGAGGCCAGTCCAGGTCACCCGTGTGAGTGGCACAAGACCCAAGGACTTGAGCAACCACCTATTGCCTCTCGGCCTATGTGTTAGTAGCAGTCGGAAGTGGAGTAGCCAGGGTTTGAACTGCTCCCTACATATGTGATACAAATGTCCCAATCAGCAGCTTGACTGCAATGCTACATGCCCACCTCTTGTTTTTTGACGTTTCTTACCTATGAATATCCATGACCTGTGTGGGTGTGTTGTTAAACAGAAAGGAAGAGAGCTCTCATCCTTCCTTAAATTCTCTCTGTGTTTTGTATCTCCACATCTGTGGAATGGGATTTTTCTCGCCACAGCTCTGCCTCGTGTAATTTTAGGTGAGCCCTGTGACCCTACTTTGGGCCTGTGGCCCTTCATGTTTAAAATAGATGGAGTATGCCAGTGGAAGCATGATGGACTTGGGAAAATTCATGATGGACACACATTATGATCCTAGAGGGGAGAACAGAAGGGAGGGGAGGGAATTGGAGGGAGGAGGAAGGGAGAGCCCTTCATGAACTAAATTGTATCAAAAAACAATTAAAAATAAAAAAGAGGGAATATGGCATGTAAAGTTACTTGGGCTTCTAGAATATGATTCTTGGGTTACTCCTGCAACTCTGTTTGTAATTTTTCCCTCTTCCTTCTTTCAACTTTAGTTCTTCCCTCTTTTTTTTCCCCCCACAAAGCTTTACATGGCCAAGAAAACAGATTTAAAGAATAAAAGAGGAGCATATATTTTTTTCTTCCCCTATTTCTTTGCCTGTGAAACTCCTGTTTAACTGTGCTGTGTTTTTGTCCTAGAGTACATTTTGGGCACCGTGCACAAAGCCAAAGGCTTGGAGTTTGATACTGTGCATGTTTTAGATGACTTTGTGAAAGTGCCTTGTGCCAGGCATAATCTTGCCCAACTGCCCCACTTCAGAGTTGGTAAGGAAGATTGGTCACTCTTCGTTTGGGTGCTCTAACTAATTCAGCAAGTAAGGGTTGCCAGAGATGCTTCCTTTTGTCTGCTTTGATTTCTCCTGGATGTCTTAGCCTCCTAGAAGGTGAAGGCCCAAATATGTGCTATTCCTGTTTTTATCAAAATCAAGCTTCCACAGGGTCCACTTTTCTTGGTGCTAGTTATAAGGCTGTTACATTTATAATGGACCTATTTAACACGTATCTGCTCTTCAGCTTTGAGTTTTTCCCTATCAGATATAAAAGCTTTGAGTGTGGTTTGTCTGCTTACCAAGGTGTTTTCCTTTAGTTTATTCTTCTCACTAAAGAGATTATAAAATAATAAAGGAAAAAAAATAGTAAACGTTGTCATTTGCATTTTAACAAAAGCTGGTTGTTACCTGCGGATTCAACATTGCAGATGTAGTATACATTGGAGTGCTGAAAATATAAATACTCCACATCTCTTACTTTTGGCAAATATAGTCATAAAGGGGGGGGGAAGTTATGAAATATATCGGCTGCTTATGTTTTCTAAATATTTGTTTACATATTTGAAAATGAGAGTTACAGTGAGAGAAAGAGAGAAATCTTCCATTGACCTGTTCACTCCCCAGATAGCCTCGAGGCTGAGGCTGAGCCAGGTGGAAGCCAGAAGCTTTCTTCAGTTCTCCCACAAGGCAGCAAGGGTCTTTTCATTGTTTTACTGAGGCCATGAGCAGGGAGCTGGATCAGAAGTGGAACAGCTGCTTTGTTTTGCTTTGTTTTCAAGATCTGTTTATTTTTTTTTTTAATTGAAAAGGCAGATTTACAGAGAAGGAGAGACAGACAGAAAGATCTTTTGTCCACTGGTTCACTCACCAAACGTCCACAATGGCCAGAGCTAAGCCAATCTGAAGCCAGGAGCCAGGAGCTTCTTCTGGGTCTCCCACGCAGGCACAGTGTTCCAAGGCTTTGGGCCATTCTCTGCTGCTTTCCCAGGCCACAAGCAGGGAGCTGGGTGGGAAGTGTAGCAGCGAGGAGACAAATGATGCCCATATGGGATTCTGGTGTCACCAATTGGACCATTATGTCGGGCCCAAGATTTTTTGTCTTTTCTACTGCTACCTTTTTCTCCACTGATTTATGCTTTCTTGATTTTGTTTTGCTTTGGTTTTATTTTGGATAGGACCTTCATTGATAATTAATTTGCATGCCAGATTGCACTTATTTAACTTATCTAATTCACTAGCTGTTAGTCTTGTCACAGATCAGCTGCTCTTTGTTAATTTCTTGCTGTTATCATAGGCATAGAGATGGAAGAGAAAGTATAAGGTGGGGAGTGTCATGACTGTTTTTCTTCCCTGGACATCTTGTGCTGACTTCAGACATTGCCAGTTAGACTGTATCAGTCCAAACAGTGTAAGCAGATGGGAAGAGAGTGAGCGTTAGAGGTGAAGAGACTCAGATCAGCTGTGGACCTTTGATTACCTGGCCTCACCTGTGCTAGTGGCATGTTTTCCCCTCCTGTTGTAACCGTTGTGAGCAGAACTGGGATTTACGGACATGACTGTCCACCTGGCACATCCTAGGTACTGAATCAACAATTCACACAGTCCTATTATTCCCATAGCAGGTCCATTCATTTGCGAGGTTTTTGTTTGGGGAATTATCATTTGTAGGAAAAATTTGTACATGTAGGCCAGCAAGTCAAGTGGCTTTTGTGAGAGTCAGGCATTGAGTGTGGGACTGTAGCCATTTAGGTATTTAGGTGAAAACTCAAGTTTTTCTGAGTAAGTTTTTGAGTTGATTTTTCCCTGTTACTTTTTTTTTAAGAGTCATTTTCTGAAGATGAGTGGAATTTATTGTACGTTGCAGTAACTCGAGCCAAGAAACGTCTCATCATGACCAAATCACTAGAAAACATTTTGACTTTGGCTGGGGTAAGAGAAACAAGTAGCATGAGTTAATTTGACAATGTTTGAAGTGTATTTTATTTATTTGATGACGGATCAACCTGTGTGTCTTCAAAGGTTTTTGGATCAGAATTGTGGGTTAAAAGTGGAGACTGATTGTGAAATAGTTGTGCGAAACATGTTCTCTTTGCTAAATTATTCCTCTAATGCAATTTAAAAAAAAAAGATTTATTTATTTTTACTGGAAAGTCAGATGAATATAGAGAGGAGGAGAGACAGAGAGGAAGATCTTCATCTACTGATTTACCCCACAAGTGACCACAATGGCCAGAGCTGAGCCAATCCAAAGCAAGGAGCCTGGAGCCTCTTCCATGTCTCCCATGCGGATGCAGGATCCCAAAGCTTTGGACCAACCTCGACTGCTTTCCCAGGCCACAAGCAGGGAGCTGGATGGAAAGTAGGGCAGGTGGTACACGAACTGGCCCCCATATGGGATTTCAGCACTTGCAAGGCAAGAAGTTTAGCCACTTGGCTATCGGGCTGGGCCTTCCTTAGTGCAATTTTAAAAGATTCGCTTAAGATACCAAACCATATTAATCTATATCTTAATTTTTACTTTGATTAATTAGTTCTTGACAGTAGGAAGAAAAGCATTTTCTGTGTCTAATCCTCCTCCTTCCCATTCCCTAGTCCCTCTTGAAATGACAGTTGCTGCTCCCACACATAGACTTGCCCACACACTATGTCCTTGCCAGGAAGGAAATACTCAGACAGCAAGCCTTAGTCACAGGCTAAGACTCTACTCCCAAGAAGTAGCCTCTCAACTCTCTTTTCCTGTCTTTCCTGCCTTCTCGTGAGATAGTCTGTGGATAATTTAATCTTTTCAAGCTTATGGAAACTAGAACAAAAATTTGAACTAATAGTTCATAACTTGTCCATCTTTTCTAAAAGATACTTAAGCCCGATACTGAAACGTAAGTGTGAAAGTTGGTAGTCTCCTTCTAAACCTAAGATTTTATGTGTAGCATACAATCTACCAAAAGTACTATATTGTGTTATTGTGTCAAGCAGGTGAGTGCTAGATGCTCTAGAGTTCTTGCATTGCTACTTTAAGCTTTAGCCTTTAAGCTTCAGACTGGGAAAGGATATGCAAAGTCTTAAGTTTTAAATAATGACAAAACAGAACTTGACACTTGTCATTGATCAAAAGTGAGATTAAAAGTTGAAGAAACAGTACACTGGGTGACCACATCCAAAGCACCCTGTATTTATTTACAGTATACCTCTCTTAAAAAAAACTTAGACCTTCCTTTTTTTCTATAACGATAAAGCCATTTCCATGTTTTAGAGAATTTGTAATATGTAACCTCTGCTTTCCAATCCCTAATTATATTTACATGATTGTCTCAAAAGTGTCTTTTTATAATTGAGATCAAATCAGGATGCAAATCAACATTTGGTTGTTAGCCACTTAAATTAATTTTCAGCAGCCCGAGTCCTTCTCCTCTTTCTTCGATGGTCCTGTTTTATTACAGAAACTCAGTCAAATGCCTTATGGGATGTTCCACATTCTAGATTTGCCTCCTGGTGTGGTTATATTATTTGCTCTGTCTTTTACTGTTGCCTATCCTAGATTTCCTATAACTGGAGGTTAGATTTGAGCATTTGATTAGAGCCAAGCTTCTCTGTTTAGACTAGAATGTTCCGTAGTGGGAAGGGCTTTGTTTTTGAATACCATCACAGCGGAAGGCTTATATTGTCAGATTACTTGTCTCCCTTTTAGTGATGTGAAGATTGTTCATCTTTTTTGTAAATCTATTTTTTAACACAAAACCCAAAGCTTCATACTGATAATTTCAATCTAAATTTTAACTTGAATTTTTTTTCCATTAATATGATGTGAGTATGTAAAACAGCTCCAACAGTTAAAATGATAATGCAGTGAGCATGTACTAAATCTGCAGATGAGATCACAGCCCTCCTTCGTGCCATCTGGTGACCCCTAAGGTCATGCGTTTTCTCCTTCCTGAGATTTCCTAGCTTCCAAACTCAGCTTGGTCGTGTTTTCCCATCTATTCCACCAACAATACAAGAACTGAAAGCAAGTGTTGTGCATGTGTTGTGTTCATTTTCCTGGGACTGATAAAGCTGCACTGTGTCCCATGTGGGAGACTTGGAGTTCCTGGCGTCCATGTTTTGCCCGGTGCAGCTCTCGCTATCTTAACAGCTGAGCCAAATGCCTACCCCAAAAGAAACTATTTTTATTTGCATTTTTTGTGAGCCTTTTGAAGTACCTTGAAGGACTTTTTAAAAACATTTGGAAACTTGTTACTTGTTTACTCATACAGGAAAATCCATTTCTCCATTAAAGAAAAATACTATAGAATCAACAGAAACACTTCCACATTATTAAGAAAGGATTAGGAAACATCTCTGTCCACAGGAAGACCCAGAGAAGCTGCTTTTTTGTGTGAACAGATGTTTTTAAGTTTGAAAACGTTGGATGGAGTACAGCACTTCTGCTTTTTTATTTATCACAGCTTGTGAATACATTTGAGGAATCCTGTTTCAGAAGTGCCTTGGACTAGCTTTTGCTCAGAAGGGAGAGTCATAAAGGGGTATTGAAGGCTTTGGGATATGGGGCCAGGATAATATAGAGGCTATGAGAACATGTGGAGATTGGTAGTCACGGTAGTGGTGTTTTATTTTTTAATTTAGTTTTTAAAGACTTATTTGTTTATTTGAAAGGCAGAGAAGCAGAGATGGAGAAGAAGGGAGAGGGGAAAGAGAAATCCCCTATCACTTGGTTAACCCCCCACAAATGGCCACAACAGCTGGAGCTGGACCAGGCAAAAAGTGGAAGCCAGAACTCCGAGTCTCCCACATGGGACACAGTGCTTGAGCCATTATCTGCTCCTTGCCAGGCACATCAGCAAAAAGCTGGATCAGAAGTGAGGCAGCCACAGCTCTAGTGTCTCAGTCTGGGATGCAGGCCGTTCTGCCCTGTGACTTGCCCTCTGCACCACAATGCCTGCCCTGGTTGTGATATTTTAAAGGTGGAATGTGAGCCTTTTGTTCTCCGCTATCTAGAATTAGCCATTACCCTGTAACCAAAATTCTCTCCTTTTTCTCTGACCTCCTTAGAGAATATGGCTGACAAAATCATCACTAGAAGGCTTTCCGTTCATCCTGTAGGAAAGTAAAGGGCATCGTCTGAAGTGCTAAGTGACACAGTTACACTAGTTTCTCAAAGACTCCCTACAGAAATGTAAATCCTTATTTTAATTTTAATTATTTTTTATTACTATTAATTGTGGATTTTGTTTTTAAGAATTCTTTTATGTATTTGAAAGTCAGTTACAGAGTAAAAGAGAGTGAGAGATCTTCCATCCAGTGGTTTACTCCCCAAATGGCCACAAGAGGCTGGGACTCAACCAGGCCAAAGCCATGAGCTTCTTGCTCTCCCACATGGGTGCAGGGGCCAAAGCATCTTCACCTGCTTCCCCAGATACATTAGGCAGGGAGTTGGATCAGAGGTGGAATATCGGGTACTCAGACTGGCACTGATATGGAACGTCATCATACCAAGCATTAGCTTTCCTCACTGTACCACAAAACTAGCCCTGAAGTGTAGATACAGCTCTAATCAGATTTACCTTCCAGAACTCTGTAAGGTCCAACTTTTTTTTTTCACAGCACATATAATTTATGTAACGCACACTATGTTCATAGTACATGCTATGCATACTGACTATACCCATGCCACATATACACAGAATACATACTGTGTTCATGGTGCATGGTATATTTACACAGTTTTCAGAATGCAGGGATTTTACCTGCTGTTTTCACTCTAATGCTGCTATGAGTATGCAGTACAGTCGTCCAAGCCTACATGTCCTGTGATATCTCCACAAAATAAAAGAGAAAGGAGGGTCAGTTACTTTTTAATAAGTTGGGCATAAAAGAGATTTGTAAATATATGAAACACTACTACTCTTCTCACCGTATTTTTCTTCTGAAAAATATAGTTATTTTAAATAAAAGCAAATATGCAGTGGGCTTACCATTTTTTAAATGAATTGATATTTTGAAAATTTCTTGGTTTATACTTACAAGATGATAAATATTAATGTCACATACACAAAGGTTCCTTAGAGCCCATAATGTTCAGTAGCATAAAGGGTGCTGAAACCCCAACATTTATGTTCTCTGCTACAGTGTTGTTCAAATCGTAGGTTGTAGTTTACTAATGATTTGCAAAATTAATTTAGTATGTTATGACAAGCTTAAAAGAAAAAAGGCCAGTGTTACAACACAGAGGGTAAAGCTGCTGCCTGTGACACGAGCCTGCCATATAACTTTGTCTTTCAAATAAATCTCCTTTTTAAAAAGTAAAATGGCATATAATCTCAAAGATAACAGCATATTTAAGTCAGTAGCTGGGAACTCAGTCTGTATCTCCCATATGGATGCACGAACCTAATTACTTGAGTCATTTTGCTGCCCTCTGAGGTCTGCGTTAGCCAGAAGCTGAATCAGGAGCTGGAACTAGATGTGTCAAGCACAAATATTTCACTAGGGGATGCAGGTGCTATAACTGCTAGGCTAAGTGCCTACTTCTCAACTACTTACACATGGATGGATGGATGGATGGACTTGTAGTGGTTTCAAAGCAGTTTGAAACCCCAGCCCTGCAAAAACTCTTGCAGTAGGCAGGAAAATATGTACAGGGATGCTCATTTCTGTGTTGTGAGAAATAGTTTAGAAATCTAAATTTAACATAGGAATGCATAAATAATATGCAGCTGAGAAGGAAACCAAAATTATGACTATTACATGTATATATTCACAAGCAAACTTCTATAGAAAACCTTATGCTTTCGGATATGACTAAACTTTAAGGTATTTTACAATGGATCACAAAGAAGACAAACCAAAAAGATTGTGGAGATGCAGTCAGAGACTTCAAAAAGTCTGTTTTATTATAAAAGGGGTTTTCCCTCCCCAGTACTTGCTGGTTGGAGCTTAAATATAGCAGAGTTATTATTATTCCCTTTCTCTCTCTTTCCTTCTTAGGAGTACTTATTGCAAGCAGAGCTGACAAGCAACGTTTTAAAAACAGGAGTGGTTCGTTGCTGTGTGGGGCAGTGCAACAATGCCATCCCCGTTGACACCGTTCTTACCATGAAGAAACTCCCCATTACTTACGTATGTACTCTCAGTGACAGTACCTGCTCTCTGTGGAACTTTAGTCCAGTCATTTACGTTCTGTTACTCCTGGACTATGTATTACCTGGGTGATAAATGAGAGATGAAAGGGAACTTGGTGTAATCCTTCCTTCTTTTTGTTTGTTTGTTTTTAGTGCTTTTCATGTAGAAGGCACAAGAGATAGGAGCTCTCTCTGTGTGTCAGAGGCAGATTAATGAAGAGTCAGGATATGTAATACTGTCTTTGTATACATCATTATTGCTGGGAAATAAGACATGTTAGAGAATAATCATTTACCTGGAAGGCCCCATTCGGTTTATCTGATTCTTTATGTCTTGATGAGATAAAAATGTGCTTTCTGCTTTAAGAGAGTTGAGAAGAGTTGAGCCTGCCCTGGATAATAACATTATGGGAAGTGTCACCTCAAGAGAGTTTGTACTGGTCTGAAAACATCAGATCATAAGACATTGTCCCTTGACAGCTGTAACAGTTCGGTAAATTTTTTGGTAGAAAGTCTTTATTCTTTGGCTGTTTCCTTACCTCTTTTTTCCTTCTCCATCCCTGCAGAGCAACAGAAAGGAAGACAGTGGTGGCTACCTTTGCCACTCCTGCGTGGAGCAGCGTATTGGGCCTTTGGCATTCCTGACTGCCTCCCCAGAGCAGGTGCGCTCCATGGAACGCACAGTGGAAAACATAGTGCTCCCCAGACACGAAGCCCTACTCTTCCTCGTCTTTTAATGCTGGGACATCTCCATGGTGCAGGGTGGCTTGCTGTGGACTCCACCTGTCGACAGAAGTTTTTGTGGGCTGCAGTTCCCATGCACCTGAGACTCTGAGTTCAACCACAGAGCATTGTCTGAAGAAGAAACAAAACAGAGTTGGACCTGCTATTTCTCATTCCCTACAGCTAGTCAGTTTCCATTTTCCTATCCTCTGTATGCACATCACATCAGGGAAGAAGAGGAGGATCTTTTGATAAAAAATGCAAAACAAAAAAACAAAAATACTTTATGTATTTAAACTTTTATTACAGGATTTCAATTAAACAGGCATTGCAGCACTGGCATGCCACTGTGACACCTGGTTTCCTCTCTTTTTTTCAGCAGCTGACTCTGTTCACACCCCGCAAAATATGTGAGCTTTAATGTTTAGGGCAATAACCGGCACACCAAAGATGACACTTCTGTACCGTGAGGAATGACCCACTCATAAAACCCGCTGTCATGTTTATAACGATGAGCTGTGCAGTTTAAACTGTGAGGGCTCATAATACATAGAACGATAAGTACAATGTCATTCAATAGTATTTCTTGAAAATCAGAAACACTTGAAAGGGAAAGGGGAGATGTATGGAGACTGTAGAAGAACAATGGGAGTCTGGTACCTCAATGTGTTTGAGGATACTGAGTGATGTTATAAAAGTTGTAAATTCTTATAGAAACTACCATTGAAATAACTCATACCATGTAGATGTACATTGAAAAGTGTTTGACATTATTGCTCTACAGCAATTTCATGATGTTGATCACAAGTGGAGGTGTAGCCATGGCATATCCAAGGAACTTACCAAATTGTTCTCTGAACTGAGCCAAGCAGATTCAGTGGTCTTCTGAGACCTTTTAGGAAGATCCTTCTAGTTGCAGTTTTGGAGAGTGTCTTCAGAACATCAAGCAAAGGACAGATGTTCATAGCAGGCAAAGGCACCGCCTGCAGTGCCAGCATCCCATATGGGCACTGACTCATATCCCAGCTGCTCTACTTTCTATCCAGCTTCCTGCTGATACACCTGGGAAGGCAGCAGATGGAGTCCCTGGCTTCTACCTTCAACCTGGCCCTGTCATGGTTCTCGTGGCCATTTGGGAGGTGAACTTGTGAATGGAAGAGCTCGCTTGTTCTTTCTTTCCCTCTTTCAAATAAGTAAGTGAATATATTTTAAAAACCAGATAGAATAAAAGCCTACTGATTATAATCTCAGCAGGAAGTGATGATGGGTAGTTGTGGTGGGACTGGATGGTGAGTGGAACTGATGATTGAGTGGACAGATCAGTGGTTCTGGAGGCATGGTCCCCAGGTAAGCAAGTCAGAATTACCTGGGAAGGTTAGAAATAAGAATTCTTAGTCTCTACCCCAGATCTACCAGATCAGAAGTGCTGGAGCTGAGGCCCAGCAGTTCGTATTTAACAAGCCCCATTAATGATTCTGGCACACACTGAATTTTGAGAACTTGTGCTCTCAACATTAAGGTAGGATCGGTAAGACTTAGTAGTACTGAGATGGGGATTGATGGAATTTCAATGTGATTCCCCATGTTTTTTACTTGTTCTGCAGGTAGAAGAGACTACTCTTCTTTGAGAGAGAAACCAGGAAATGTAGTACGTTTGTATAAAAATGATTTATTTGTTTTTTGACATAATGATTTGGGGATGCTTAGGAAAAATTCAAGTAGAATTATCCAAGGAGCTATTTGGTAAACAAATCTATACCTCAGCAAAGAACCCTAGGTTAGAAATAATTTTACAATGTTTTTTAACTTGGTAGTTAAGGTGGTTAAGTTTAAAGGTTTCTGAGGAGTTCATTGCAGGACTATATTAAGAAAAATGAGAAGAGGGGTACGTACTCTGGCTGACGCAGGTTAAGCTGCTGCTTGGGATGCTCACAGCCCATACCACAGTGCTGTTCCAGTCCTGGCCACTCTGCTTCCATTCAAGCTTCCTGCTAATGCATTATAAAACAAAGCAGGTGGTGGCTCAATTGCCTGGGCTGCTGCCACCCACCTGGAGGACCCAGATGAATCCCAGGCTGCTAATCTTAGCCTTGCCTGAGCCTGGCTGTTATGGGAACTTGAGGAGTGAACCAATGAATGGGCTATTCATCTCTGCCTTTCAAGTAGATAAAAATAAGCAAATTTATTTTAAGTGAGAGGAACAGATATCCAAGAAACACACCTGAAGAATGTGAGGTTAGGATAAGTAGAAGACTTTGTGAAGCAAGATGACTGATTCCAGAAGAAAGGCCATCATGATAGAATTCTTACTAAATCCAGGAGAGGAAAGAGTTTTAGAAAAGCAGTCTTCAACATCCACTGCAGTAAAAAAAAGAAAAAAAAAAGGTAAAATGAGGGTTAAAGTAAAATGGCACTGAAATTCAGTGGTGATGGCATCTGATCAATTTTTTTTAAAGTAGTGTATTTATGTGATGGAGTGACACAGAGAGAAACTCTTTAATTGGCTGATTCATCCCTAAATAGCCACAACAACTGGAACTGGGCTGGCCAGGACCTCCATCTGGATCTCCCATTTGATCAGCCAGTGCCCAACTACTGCTGCATTTTCAGGCACATTAGCAGAGATCTGGGTTGGAAATGGAATTACTAGGATTTAAATCAGCATCCATATGGAGAAGCAAGCCCCAAGAAATTCTTAATTCACATGTTAGTCTACCGCAGTTTGACTTCTCCCACTAAAATTTAATTGGGCTAGCGTTGTGATACAACAGGTTAAGCCAACACTGGCAATGCCAACATCCACAGGTCTTAGCTGCTGCACTTCCAGTCCAGCTCCCTGCTAATGTGCCTGGAGGCAAGCAGCAGCAAATGACCCAAGTGCTTGGGGTCCTGCCACTCATATAGAAGACCTGATTGGAGTTACGGGATCCTGACATCAGCTTGGCCCGGCCCCAGGTGTTGCAGCCACTTGCGAGTGAGAAGATGGATGGAAGAGTGCTCAGTTTCTCTAGCTTTGCCTTTCAAATTAAAAAAAGAAAGAAAGAAAGAAAGAAAACGAAAAATTAGTGTTATGGGAATACTGTAAATGGGTTTAAGAGAGTAATTGCACCAGAACCACTATATTCAGTGTGACATAGTAGAGCTTGGATGAAACTTCGTCAATCCATGAATGTATGATGTATTGTCTTTGTAAGAAGAGTCAGAACAGGGCCCGGTGTGGTAGCCCCTCAGCTAAAGTCCTCACCTTGCACATGCCAGGATCGCATATTGGATGCTGGTTCTAATCCCGGTGACCCCACTTCCCTTTCAGCTCCCTGCTTGTGATCTAGGAAAGTAGTCATGGACTGCCCAAAGCCTTGGGATCCTACACCCACGTGGGAGACCTGGAAGGAGCTACTGGCTCCTGGCTTCAGATTGGTTCAGCTCCAGCCATTGCAGCCACTTGGGGAGTGAGTCAATGGATGGAAGATCTTCCTCTCTGTCCCTCTTCCTGTTTGTATATCTGATTTTCCAACAACAACAAAAAAATAAATCTTTAAAAACAATAGTTAGAATTAAAATTTTAAAAGAAAAATATGCAAGGTGTAGATATATTTTTAAGGCCTGGAATTCTTCAATTTCATCCTTTTTATTTTAAAGACAGAGTTACAGAAAAAGAGGAAGTGACAAAGATCTTCCATCCACTGGTTCACTCCCCAGATGGCTGCAGCAGCCAGCACTGGGCCAGGCTGAAATTAGGAGCCTAGTGTTCCTTCCAGATCTCCCAAGTGGCCATCATCTGCTGCCTTTCGGTGCATTAGCTTGGCGGGAAGCTGAATGGGAAGTGGAGCAGCTGGGACTCCAAGCATCACTCTTGGGATGACACAGCATCACAAGCAGTGGCTTAACCAGTTGCCTCACATCAGCAGCCCCATTCCATTTTTAAAGTGGAGCTGCTATGTGTATATAACGCATGGAGTAGGCACTCAAAACTATCCTATCTACAGTGACTCAAACCTTTGAGAGCTTCTGGGAAAACAGAAAACAGCAGTAACCCAGGTACCCTTTGGGTAACATTTACTTCAAAGCAGTTTTTTAAGATTACATACTTGTCTTATTAAATGGACACTTTTGGCACTCTTCCTGGATAATTGAAGAAACAGCTCAAGAACCCCCCTACTTTCACAGTGAGGGCATCTATCAAAGGGGGCAGTTGGATGGAACAAGGGCGCTTAGGGTTGAGTTCCCAAGGTTATGTTCATTGTGTTCTATTGTTCAGTCCTTGTGAAACCTTTGCTCTTTAAAGCTGGTTTTCTTTTATCTTTGTTTAACATAGAATTACAGAGCAATCCTCCCAGAACTCTGCTGATATTGGGGCCTATACAAAAAATAGGATGCTTCCCACCAACTTCTGTCCTGTCTTTCATATTTACCTGCCTAACTGTTTTGCTTTGCTCTTTCTCTCCTAAACTTAGTGCTTGCTTTCCTCTTTGCAAGCTCACTACTCGTTTGTTTATTTTATTTTGCATTATTTTATTTGGAAGGCAGAAAAAAAGACAAATAGAGATCTCCCACCTACTGGTTCACTCCCCATATGCTGTGAACAGCTGGGTTGGGGCCAAGCAAAAACTGGGAACTCAGCCTGAATTTTCCTTGTGGGTGGCTCAAGTGCTTGGGTCCCAGCCACAGCACCTGCTCCCAATAAATCATAAGCAAGTGCTCCATTTCAGCTCATGCTTTTGTAAGGTAATACATGCTGTGCTGTGGTCTTCACTTTAGAGACAAGGCAATGTCAAGCTACTTAGCCAAGAAGCTTCTGCATGTCATGAAGAGAATATGTCAGCCAGTGGATTCTGAATAGATTTCATCGGGGTTGGAACTGCAAGATTGGCAGCAATTCAGAACTGTTGAACTATTGAAATTTCATGAGCAGGACCCTCAGAGCATGCCCCACATCGGGGACTTGGGATGGGTGGGAGGCTAGGTGGGGCTTCTCCCTTTGTCTCTTCCCTTACCCCAGATACAGGGGGGAAAAAAAACTATTTTAGTGTAGAAACAATGGTCTTACTCACTTTCCTGTAGTCCTTGACCCTTTATGCCCTAATCAACTATGTAAAGATTATCAGAATAAATATATATGTATATAAAGAGAAGCTTCTACACATGATAGAACCAGGAAATGTTGCAATCAGTGTTTGACATACCCTAATTCATGTTCTAGCCACTGTATAAAAGTTGAGTTTAATAGATGCTAAACTGATAGAACAGACAATAAATGTTAAGAACTCAGAAGCAGGTGGTTGTATATACTTCAATAGTTAATAAAAGTTCCTTGGAGAAAGTAATTGAGGTGGCTCTCAAAAGATAGGTTGGATGGAGAAGATGTTGAACGAATGGATTGAGCTCAGAAATAGGTTTGGCCTGGAGAGAGCAGTGAGGCAGGGAGGCATTGGGAGATGAGGTGCAGGTGTGTGGAGCCAGATTCTGGACAACCTTTGGAGTTGTAGTTCCCATTTGGGAAACTCACTAGCAGCCTGACATATGGGAAATCACAAGAACAGGCTTAGTATTGTAAGCTCAACCAAAGAAGAAATGGTGTCAGACAAAACAAGCCATTTCTGAGAACAACAGCATGATAGGGGAGTGTGCTTGGGATACATTTAAGTCTTCCAAATTTCCCCCATGACACCTTCTTTCCACTACAAGGACTGTCCTTATCCAGTCAGTGCTTTATCTTCCAGCAAGGAAATAATGTTGTTCAACAACTCAAAGACTCAGACCCTTAAGCTGGGTTTTTGGTCATCATGGTGTTGCATAGATAAGGTATGAAATTTAGCATGGCTACAAGAAGGATCTAGCTGTGGCTTGAATTTGGACTTGAGAGGTTTGAGCTCATTCTTTTTAAGTTTTTCAGTGTCACTAAAAATAGTTACCAACTGGTGGCCTTGGATTTTTAATGCCTTCTTAAGAGCCAGGCCTTCAGCAGGTATGCCACCTGGGGAACTAATTTCCTATCTGCTGAGGGCTACCAAAGTCCCATCTTAGAATTCAGAATTTTCACAGTCCCCTTTCGGAGGCAGATACCCAGTTGCTTCCATAGTGGTTTGGAACTTAACATGGGTAAATAATGGAAATTGTTTAGAGGAAGACAGAGACACACACTGGAAGAATATCAAGAGCTCGTAGAATCCAGAGAAGTTAGAGGATGAACTTTGAAAAGTGGCTAAGAACCAGAACAGTCTGGAGAAATAGTACGGTAACTAAGGCCTTTGCAGGTCACTGCTCTATAAATTCTGTTGTGCTTTATTCTTTCAGACTTCCAGGTGGGAGGGGCTGGCAGACTCAGCCAAATGAGATGCTCATGCCATGGTGAGAGCATGTGACAAAGGGGTTTCATCACTCTGGGTTATTGAGCAACAAGGCACTCTAACATGATAGACTCCCATAAATGTAGATGAAGAAGTTCTGCATCTTGGATAGCTACAAATAACATAATAAAAGCAGAATGTGTAGACTTCAGCACTTGAGAAAGAGAAGGGTAGATTTTCCCAGGAAGAGAATACCTTGTCTGTATACAAGGAATAATGTTCACACATTCAGCTCTGATATGTACTATCAGATGTTGGGGAGTTGATGATTTGAATGGGGCTAGTTCTACTCAAAGGAACACAGACTTGTGGGAAAATAGGTAAGTACACTCAGGGTTCTGAGCTACTTTTTAAAAAATTTCTAAGGTCAGAAGTGTGGCAGCCTCAGCCAATCATGAAAGGTCCTCAAGGAAAAAGTGGAGCGGCCATTAGAAGCGTGGAAAGAGCCTTAAATACACCTCCAGTTTCCTATTTCACTTATTAATGTCTAGATGAGAGTTTAAAAGGAAGAAAGTGAAAGTCTTATTTCTTGATCAAGAAAAAATGAAGCAATATCAGATGAAGAGTTTTCACCATGGCAAGTTATTGAGCAGAGAAAATGAGGCAAGACAGAAAATCTGAATTACTTAGATCCATAGCCAGTTAAAGACATCTGGACTCAAGGCCTAATTGCTGTAGCACTTTCAAATCCTTTGGAGTTCTGTGTACCTTTTCAATTTTAATAATAAGAATTAGAACAGTGAGTTCTTCTTAGTACCTGGAAGATACTGATTCCTCCCAGATTATTCTGTTCACTCATTATTGCAATATTCATTGCATTTACTGAGTGCCAAGTATTGAAAATCAAATTAAAACTTCCAAGATAGCTCCAAAAAATATGGGAGTCAGTCACAATGTTTGGCTTCCACATTTGACCCACTCATCTCCCTGGAATCTGGGCTGGACACACTTGGATCTGTGTAAGTGACAGAAGTGATACTAAGGGAGCATGACAGTCCTCTGTTGACCTGGGACCACTGTCCTGTAAAGGAAACCCAAATAACTGCATGGAGAGGCTTCCTTTCATAAAGAAACCATCTGAAACAATGAGATGCAGTGATCAGTGAGAATGGCAACATGTGAATCAGGTGATGTACACAGACGCTCCTCCTTCACCCCACCCTTAACACCACCAAGCTGTACAGGAGCAGAGAGCCATTCGTTCAGTCAAGCCTTGCTCCTCTCCCCATCACTCCCCAGTTCTGTTCGGGCTCTGGTATTAATTGAGCCATGTGAACTTTTTCTGGATTCAATGTTTACATGCATATAATGGAATGGAAGATGAAATTACCCTGAAGATTTCAAACATAAATGTCATAAATAACAACAACAACAAAAAAGGAAGATAGGGGCCCGGCGCGGTGGCGCAAGTGGTTAAAGGTCCTCGCCTAGCACGCCCGGGATCCCATATGGGCGCCGGTTCTAATCCCGGCAGCCCCGCTTCCCTTCCAGCTCCCTGCCTGTGGCCTGGGAAGGCAGTCGAGGACGGCCCAAAGCTTTGGGACCCTGCACCCGCGTGGGAGACCCGGAAGAGGCTCCTGGCTTCGGATCGGCATAGTATCGGCCCGTTGCGCTCACTTGGGGAGTGAATCATCGGACGGAAGATCTTCCTCTCTGTCTCTCCTCTCTCTGTATATCCGCCTTTCCAATGAAAAAATAATAAAAATAAATCTTTAAAAAAAAAAAAAAAAGGAAGATAGGAAGGAAAGTGACAATGTGTGTCCCACTTGTAGCTAAGCTAGAACTTACATCATGTTGCTTCTCATTAGATCATGTTGCTTCTCATAGGGAAATTTTGTTAGAAAGTCCCAATCTGTGATTGAACCAATTTAGGGCAAAGGTGTTTTGTTTTGTTTTGTTTTGTTTTGTTTTGTTTTGTTTTGTTTTTGGAAGAAAGTGTGCTACAATCATTTCAAATTTGCATTCTTGCTTTTTGTGTGTGTGTCTCACTGATTTCTTTTTTCCTATTGAAAATAGATATTTTATTTGTACAGACATAATTTCAAAATTCAAATTATACATAACATGTACATATAATAGAAGTATAAATATAAGTGCACGTATACATGAAACGTCACTGAGTTCAGGTTTTTTTTTTCTTCCAAACCCTCAAATCAAGAGGATTCGGTAGGCTCAATATGTCTTCTGCTTTTCTTGGCCCAGTTTCAATGTGTGCACAGCACCTGCAGACAGAATTTCAGGAGCTCAAATGTCCAGGTCTTCCATGTGGATATGTCCTAAGTCAGAAAGAACATTATGGAACAGGCAGCCTCAAAGAACTCCAAGTTAGGTTAAGGCATGGATAAACAGGCTGATAAAAGTGGCCTGAATAAATGTCATAATGAAATAAAAACACTGGCTTGAAGTTATCCTTTTTGAGGAGCTTCAACTGCCTGGGCTTTAGGACGCCGGTGCTTGTACCTGAGTTGAGGCAGGTGGGTGGATGGGTGGCATCAATCAGGAAACTACTGGCTCAGGCAGGGATGTACTCAGGTCAGATACAGTCAGATCACATCAGGGATGGGCAGTTATCCTGGTTGACTTTTTCCTGGCACCCCAAGTCTGTGTGTCTCCTCCTTGGCTAAACAGAGGGGGCTCCTTTCCTCCAGACTTAGTTGGGCTGGTCCCCTACCACCTTGAATTTCAGAGGTTGGGTGGGTAGTTTTCTGTGTCTTCGTGTCTGCCACTGGTGCCCCCAGTCATTGGTATAGCTTCTGTGGTTTCCATTTCAACAGCAGGTGGCTGAGAAGTTCTCCTGAAAAGCAGATGATGCACAAGTTTTGAGAAGAGGAGAGGATCGCCCTGCCATCAGCAGCTATTTCTGATTAGACATGGTCCAGTGCTGCCTGTGTACTAGCAGATGCAGACACTGCCTGCAGGGCTCCTACAACAGTCAGCCTTTACCGAGTTGCTCAGAGATCTAGAAAACCTCAAAGGCCGACATTTCCAGGTGTGTTTCAAGCTCCCCATCTACTAGGTTTATCAACATTTCAGAAGAGGCTCACACCCCTTTCTGCAGTTTCCCTTTCCCCCCACCTTGATACAAAGCAGTTCAAATGGCAGAGACAAGGAATTCCAGGAAAGCATAACCAGGAGGCTGAGCACCCGGATAAAAACAAGTTCATGTTCAGGAAGCTTTTGAAGCAGTTCTTAATGGTTACTGTTAGATGAATAGATTAATCATCTCCTGAATGAGGAGAGTGGGGAAGGCAAGACATTTAGATTGCACATTTGCAAGCCCGTAATGAGGCTGCCTCCTTTGAGTATCTGGGTCAGCAACCCCTTCTTCCCTCCCAAGGAAAAGAAACTCTTCAGTTCTTTTTAAAGGAAGTGGTTTCAGCAAGTCCCTTTGAGTGAGACCTAAACTATAAATCAGAATCTTGGGCCAATTTTCTAAAAGCCAAAAAAAAAAAAATCTGATAATCAGTTTGCAGGAAAAAGAAAAAGTATACAGACAAATTTGATTCACCAAATAATCACATTTATTATATTCACCAAATCTTTTAAGATATATATTTATATGAGTATGTTTAATATATATGCATACATATATATATTCAGTAAATACTGATATTTCTTCTCATGTGCATATTTATTGGCTGTATATACCAAATTTGTAAATTCTTTTTAAGAATTCATTTAATGTATGTATTAAAATGTCATTTCTGAATGCAGTTAGTTATAATCTCCTAGAACTGCACATGCACATTCAGAGTTTTATATGGAAATAATTCAGTAATGGTATTTTGAAAATGCTCTTGAAATTTATTGAATGAATTCTCAATATTTAGTATTTGAGGTTTTCTCTAAGTAAATCTTATTTACTTTCTTATTGGTGATCTGGGATTATCAGTTTTTGAAGGTTTTTGAACTTTTGAATATTGATTTTGGCAGAGCATCTAATATTTTGTAAAATTTTACTTTCAAGATCAAGAGCAACCACATCAGTTTGGAAAACCAAGATCCTGGTTATCACCTGAAAGTACCATTAAGACTGGCTTTTGCACAAAACTCGAGCCTTTAGTGAAAAAGAACATAAAAGGCCTAAAAGTTGGAAAGATAATTGAAAAGTTATTTATTATTTAATGCAGTCAGAAAATTTATATTATTCCCTTGTAAGCATATTTATTGACAGTATGTACCCAGTTTATATGCTTTTTAAGAATATGTTTTAATGTATTCTTAATAAAAAACGATTCTTATATATACCATCAAGTGGCACAAGTTTTTCACAAATGTTGAAATGCAAAATTTTGATTGTTAGACTTACAAAAATAAGATTTACATGAATGAACATAAGAAATGTATCTGCAGTTAGCAATATATTCAAAGCAAATATACTATATTTATGAACGTATCATCTGAAGAGTTGATGCACAGTGCCTACTGTGGGGAAGTGGCCATTTGGAGCATTCTTTCTTTTCTGAATTGCTTGTGGGTAGACTGGCCTCCAGCATCATTAGTCCACTTCCCCAATTCTGACTACTCTTCTGAGAATTGTGTGGTGGTAGAGGGCTCTGTAGGGCTGGCTCAATGCCAGCCCTAAGGCTTGCTTTAGCTAATATAGAGGAGGTTGAGGGTGAGAGGCTGAAGTCACAAAAGGGGCTCTACCTAAAGAGATCATCCTGAAATAATAATAATGTAGCTCTTTTCTCATAGGAAGGAAAAAAAAATCTAGTCCTGTGGTTTCTCCTTTGCTACTCACCTTAATCTGCAGCAATGCAGCAGCAGGAGCACTGCACATACTACACACACCAATGAGACAGACGTGGAGATGGCCACTGTAAAAGAACAGAAGCAAGCTGAAACTATGCCGGGCGTCCTAGGAGTTTATTTACTGATGAGAATTGGAAAATTTTGTACATTTTAGATGCTGGCAGAGAACCAAATGTTTTCCCAATTGGCTCACCATTATTCACATTTTTTTGAGGACCATGTTATTTGCTCTAATCCAAATTTGGGCAAAAAGATGCTCACTCACATTATCTATTCAAACTGTCCCGGAGCCCAGCACAATGGCTCAGTGGCTAAATCCTCGCCTTGAACACGCCAAGATACTGTATGGATGCCAATTTGTGTCATGGTTCCTCCATTTCCCATCCATCTACCTGCTTGTGACTTGGGAAAGCAGTAGAGGATGACCCAAAACCTTGGGACCCTGCACCCACATGAAAGACCCAGAAGAAGCTTCTGGCTCCTGGCTTCAGATTGATTTAGCTCCTGCTATTGCAGCCACTTGGGGAGTGAACCAGCAGATGGAAGATCTTTCTGTATCTCCTTCCCTCTATGAATCTGCCTTTCCAACAAAAATAAATAAATCTTTAAAAAAAAAACTGTTCCCATTCCTATTTTTCCTACACTCCTGCTGCTCATACTTCTTAAGTAAAGTGAATGTGAGCAGGCATAAATGGGAGTGTGTTAGGACAAAAAGGAGGAGACTGCAAGCAAAGCTGGGTAACAGAAGGTAAGAGGAAGAGGAGGAGGCCGGCCCTTCCAGAGGAGCCTCTACTGCTAAATCCAAAGTGAAGAAAAAGACTCCTCTGTCCTTCAACCTGACAGATTTTAAAAGAGTGTTAAGTGGCATAGCCCTTTCAATTCATTTGAATTTTTAAGGTTAGTTTTAAAACTAATTTAAAAATCAAAGAGACAGAGAGATCTCCCATCCACTACTTTACTCTCCAGATGCCCACAACAGCCAAGGTTAGGCAAAGCCAATGTGAGAAATCAAACACTCAGCCCAGATCTCCCAGGAACTCAAGTACTTGGCCACCATTTGCTGCCTTCCATGATGTGCATTTGTAGGGAGCTAGGAACAGAAATGGAGCCAGGGTTGAACCCAAGCACCCCAAAATGTGATGCAGGTGTGCATATATTTTTTAAATAATCATTTATCCATTTAAAAGTCAGAGTGACAGAGAGAGGGAGAGGGGAAAACGGAGCTCTTCCATTCACAGACTCATTCCTCAAATGGCCACAATAGCCAGGGCTGAACCAAACTAAAGCTAGGAGTCAAGAACTCCAGCCTCATCTTCCACTTGGATGGCAAGGACCCAAGTACTTGAGCTATCGTCTGCTTTTCCACGTGTGTTAACAGGAACTGAATCAGAAGCAGAGTAGCTAGAACTGGAAAAAGGACTCGGATATGGGATGCCAGCATCACAAACAACAGCTTAACCTACTACACTCCAACACTGGAGCTCCCCCACCTGCCCAGGGGCACTTGAATCACTGATACCCAACACTTGTCACTCATCTTGTAAACATTTGCTTTTCATGGAAGAGGGAGAGTGGTAAAGAGAAAGAACAAATTTTAAGAAAAATGTTGCAGAAAGGTGGAATATAAGGTAAGGTATGGCTTAGAATCAGAGGAAAACATGTTTTCTGAGTTGAAAGAAACAGCAAGAAGTATGGGGGAGCTTATAAAAAAAAGTATGGGTCACAAGATCACCTGAGGCAGATCAGAAGGAGGGTTGATGAGATAGCAAAGAGAACAGGAATGAGAGAGAGGAGTGTCTTTTTCTTGCAAAGGGCCTTAGCCCAAGAGCAAGGAAACAGAGGCATTGTTCAATACACTTAGAAATGTGGCCATTTGACTGTTTTGAACTCTCTTTGCAAACTTCCACCCCCAGCTGCCCAGTGTTAGATGCCAAGGCTGAACATCTGATGAGGCAGCAATCTCACCAAGGACCATGATTCTTTTTTTTTTTTTAAGATTTATTTATTATTGGAAAATCAGACTGATACAGAAGGAGAAGCAGAAAGATCTTCCATCCACTGGTTCACTCCCCTAGTAGCTGCAATGGCCAGTATTGAACTGATCCAAAGCCAGGAGCCTGGAGCTTCTCCTAGGCCTCCCACATGGGTGCAGGGTCCCAAGGCTTTGGACAGTACTGGAATTCTTTCCCAAGCTATAAGCAGGGAGCTGGAAGGGAAGTGGTCAGCCAGGACATGAACTGCTGCCCTTATGGGATGCCAGCACATGCAAGGTGAGAACTTAGCCTCTAGGTTACCATGCCAGACCAAGGACCATGACTGCTGTGTCTCATGGCCTCAGAGCTTTAAGGACCTAAACCAGCCGAATATAAGCATGTCGGGGAACATTACGGGGAACCCAATACTCCTAGGAGTGTACACTGATGTGGTTCTTCCCAAGAGCAATTTGCAACATATAACAAAAATCTCAAGAGAAGCCCATACCCTTTTGCCTTATTCTACTAGTAATCTATTCTACAGGAATATAGAAAGATACTGGCACTCAAGTATTGCTTAAAATAATGTTCAATACTCACCTAAATCTGATTTCAATAGAAAACGAATTAAACAAAATGTGGTATACACTAGAATATGATTCAATTGCTATAAATTGTGAAATGGAACTATATCATATGGGATGATGTCTATAACCTCTTTAGTGAAAACAGTTAGTTGATGGACAGGTGTTTAGTGTCATGATTAAGATGCTAGTTAGTATGCCCACTGGGAGGTCCAATACCAAGTTCTGACTTCTTGACTCCAGTTTCCTGCAAATGCAGATTCTGGGAAGCAGCAGTAACGACTTGAATGGTTGAGTTCCTAACAGCCATTTAGGTGGCCTGGATTCAGTTTCTGCCTCCCAGTATGATTGTACCTCACTCCCCTGCTAGTCCGTTGCGGTCATTTGGGTAGTTGGCTAGTGGATAGGATTCTCTTTCTCTCATAAATCTGTTTTGAAAAGATGTTTTTCAAGTTAAAAAAAATCTAGTAAGGACAAAAATGAACCCCAAATGATCTTTAAGAAGCCATGTGAGTGTTCATATGCACAGAATATTCTTGAGAAATATACAATATGCCACAGTGTTAAGTAATGGTTGGACTACATGTAATTTTACTTTTACATTGCTTCTCTCATATTTTAGTAATGACACTATTAATAGAAGAGTAAAGCTATAGAGACAAAACTTTTAAGTACACAAAATTTGCATAGAAAAGTTGCTACTGTAACAGAAAACATGGAAAGTAGTCAAAGATGTTTTGAGTTGTCAGATTTAAGATTAAAAATTTTTTTCAGAACTTTTATGCCCTATGGGAAACTATACCTTCACAGCAGTTAATAAGCTTGGCATGCATTTATGTTTCATGGAGTGATTTATTGGAAAAGCCAAGTTGATGTCACCTGTAGTCCTACTTTCACAATTCTTTTTCCTGTTTCCTGTTGAAGAAGAGTAAAACCTGCAGACTCAAACTTGAGAAAGAAGGACTCTTGGACCAAAGATAAAATAATTGGAATTCAGTGACAACCTCAGACCCTTGCCTTCTTCCTCACTCAGAGCCAAAGCAAATTTAATAACGAGATTCAAACCAAAATGACAAGACGAACAAATGAGCACCTGACAGGTTCTCTACCTTTTGTACTGGCAAAGCAGTTGGAGAAAATGCAAGAGAAGGAGGGCTGATGAGATAGTGAAAAGAACAGGAATGAGAGAGCGGAGAAAAAGCTGATGACTGTACAACAGACCCCCAAAGCCTCTCAATATCCTGCTTGACTTCAGTCCACACTGCAGACTGAGACTTGGACAGAGAAGAAATGTCAGAGTGCCAGGGGCCAGTTTTGGTAGGGGTAACATAAATGTCCTCTGAATACACAGGACATAGTCACTTCTCATCAATACTCTGACAAATGAGGCTGGTCATGGGGTAAAAGTACCTGCATTGCTGCGACACAGCAAATGTCCCCACTACAGATGAAGACAGTTTGGGTGGAACAATATCACACGAACTATTTACTCAATTGATCAAGGTCAAGCTTTCAAATTCCATGAATAAGACAGGAGAGAGTACCAGTTAATAGTTGAGCAGATTTACTGTGGCAAGTTTGCTTCAGATGTGAAGGATTAGAGAGCATAATACCTTCACTCCTAATGCACCTAGTAAAGGCACTATTACAAGTTACACACAAACCTTTTATAACTGAGAGCCTTGAACATTAGCCTCGTCATAGATCAGGGAGCAGACAATAGACTAAGCCAATGAAGTTATTGACAAAATGTGTTATAAAATGGGCCAAAAGATATGTAAGACAATGAAACTTTGACTGGAATTCATTAAATGTTTACTAAAGTGTTAGAGCCCTCAAATCCACTAATTCATCTGTTTAGTCATTGAATATTTATTGAACATTTTGTATTTACCATTTCTGTTCAGTTAAATAGAGCAATTTTAAAGGTATCATTATTAAGAAGCAAATTATGATATTAGTGTACTAAAGCAAAAGTTAACTTACTGAGTAACCATTATGGTAAAACAACATTGATGTTTTCCAGCTCAGCTGATGGCTAATTCGTGCAGAAACAGAACCGCTCAGGAGCCAGTGAGTATCTCTACCCATGTGAAGTGATAGCTGCCTACCAAGGATCTTGGTGTGGCTAAGACAAAGTTTTGGGAAATTTTATTTATTTCATAGGCAGAATGATGGAGAGAAGAAGAGATAGAGAGAGATCTTACATCTGCTGGTTCATTTCGCACCTCCCCACCCCCCAATGCCTACAACACCCATTTGCTAGACCAGAGGGAAGTAAGGAACCAGAAACTCCATCTGGTGTAGACTGAAGTCCCACCTAGGTGGCAGGGACCCAAGTACTCCAGCATCATCCACCGCCTTCACAGGCACATTAGCAGGAAACTGGATCAGAAACTGGGACATGAACTTGCACCCTATATGAGAAGTAGTATTTCAACCCATTGGTGTCTTCACACCAACCTCTAACTTTTTGTTTAAGCAGTCTGGAGAAAGAAAATCTCATATTAAATATTTTGGGTTTTTTTTTCTTCTTCTTTAAGACTGCTCTTTCACAGTTCCTTGCATGCAATTATCTTGGTCCATGGTAGTTGTGTGGTTAATATTCCTTTAATGTAGCAAACATTTAAGAATCTAGAGACGCATACTTTTGTTATTTTGGGTTTCAATTTTTCAAAATATGTGAGCAAGCTAGAATTGGACATAGAGCTGGGACTAGAACACAGGGCCTCTGACGTGAGATGTGGGCATTCTGACCAACATCTTTACTAGGTCAGGTGTCCAATCCTTAACCACCTTCTAAACCATTGCAACCAACTGATGACTAAAACGCCCAAAACCATTTGATTTTCTTCCAGTTGACACTTAGTATAGGGAAAACAAATTATTTCTGGGGCAGGAGGAGGGGAAGAGTGGATTTTTCTCTAGCATAAAAACTTATGAATAGAAAATAGAACTTGCTTTTGCTCATCTCAGAGTATATGGGATTTTCTAGTCCTTTTAAAGTCTGCACACTGAAGTATTAGATTCTTCCTCACTGCTTGTATTTCTGCCCTCCCTGCCTCTCCATTCTTCTGCTTTCTTCTGCTGAGCTTCCTCTCCTTCCTTCCTCTTTTCCTAATCTTCTTACAAAAACTTTCATTTTCCTTCTTACAATACTTTGGCTGTCTTTTTTCTCCTCGCCCTTAGTGACACATGTGACTTCTGTAAAGGAGGCTTTGCCTTCTGAGAAATGTGGAGATCTGGAGCTGGCACGGTGGCTCAACTGGTTACTCCTCTCCCTTATAAGTGTTGGCATCCCTTATGGGCACTAGTTCACATCCCAGCAGCTCCACTCACACCCAGCTCCCTGATTATGTGACCTGGGGAAGCAGTGAGAGATGGCCTAAGTGCTTGAAACCCTGTACCCAAGTGGGATCCTGCATCCAGAAAAAGCTCCTGGTTTTGGATTGGCTCAGTCCCAGCTGTTGTGACTATTTCAGGAGTGAATCAGTGGAAAGATGATCTTTGTATCTCCTTCTCTCTGTAAATCTGTCTTTTCAATAATAAATTAGTAAATCTTTTTAAAAATAAGAAGGGGAAGGAGGGAAAAGAAGAAGGAAGAGAAGAAAAGAGAAATGTGGGGGTCTCTCTGTAAAGCTTGTGGTGCCCCACCTTGTAGACCTCCTGGCAGAAACAGAGTAAATGTGGCATGAGCAGGCACTGGCAGTTTCCTGACACTCCCTGGACAGGAGTCCAGCACTGCTCTGTACCTCTGGACCTTGGGACCCTTTCTATGATACAGCAACTCACTGGTTTAAACACTAGCAGCCTGATAGAAGTAACCATTATGGATGTAAAGTGTCATGTCCATTGAATGTCTACTACTAGCATATCATAGAACTTGTTATGTTTGCTATTTTTGATGGAGGAACTTCTGCAAGGAACCATTGGTAGTTGTCATGCCGGGGTGGCAGGCCTGGGGCAGGACTATTCTGCACACTGGCTCTGAAGCCATTGCAATCATAAGCATGCTGGGCAAAGAAAAGTACTTACCAGTGGCCTCTTTGGAACTGTGTGGATAAGCACCTGCAGAAGAGAGGGAACAGCTGACTCAAGGATGCAGTTGTTAATGCACTAGTTTCTCATGAAGCCCAAGAAATTCTGCATTACTTGCTTCCCACCTTAGAACCTTGAGAGATCCATGGTAGCGCCATTGAACTCATTTTAGTGAAGAACAGAAAACTCATTGAGGTGCTAGCACTTACTTGCAATCTGAGCATGCCTTAAAGCAGGTCCAGATTCCCACAGGCTTCTCCACCCCACAGACAATGGCTCCAGAAGGCAGCTTGCATCTACCACCTTCCCACTGGGGATGGTTCAAATGGTGTTCAGAGCTTTAGCATGGGCTGGCCATGTCACATTGCTGAGGGGATGGAATGTGGATTTTCTTTTCCAGTTTTTCTAGTTAGACTAAACCAGGCAGAATATATGCCACAGAGATCCAGGCAAGGAGACTGTGGCAGGTGCAGAAGGTAGCAAGGCTACCTTGTAGGTCGGGGCCAACTGAATTCAGTAGTATAAGATCTGTTTACCCAATCTCACAAGTAATGCATAAGGAAGCAGTTTCTCTGTGTGCAAAGCTAGGGCTAACCTGTTGTCTCGTGGGAGATGGAGGGCGTGGGTTCCAAGAACTTTGATGTTGTCTGAGATGGGGCTGGGGAGGGTCCATGACTGCCTATCCCTGTGGTTTCTGCAGAAGGTGATGTGGACAGCATCAGCCAGGAGCCTGGTACAATAGCTGTCCCTGTGGCCACTGTGGTGTCTGACTTGGGAGAGAACACGGCTGGCCCTGCAGGAGATTCCAAGGAGGTGAGAACACAAATATTTAGACTAGACTCTTCTCAGCTCCAGCAGATGTTGGACCTAGAGAATCTACCCTGGCCAGCCCTCCCCCAGCAAACTGTCAACCTCCTCTGCTGACACATCCATCCATCTGGAACAGCTATGGGACTTGTCAGAGCTCTAAATACAGTTACTTATTATGGTGCATACAAGGAAACATCCTAAACAGCTGGGTATCCAGGCTTATCTTACTAGAGAGGGTATTTATGCATTGAAAGATGTAGTGCAAAAACACAGAGGAGCTATGATTTCCAGGGAACTGGGATGCTAGCTTTCTAAACAGCAACTTTTAAAAGTTGGGGAAGCCCGAGATTTGGCTTGTCTGAACCCAGCGGTGTATATTTGAGGGAAGCATCTTGATTTAGCTTCAACCTCGGGAAGAGAGGTTGCCTTGCCCCCTCCTTGGTGGATGACTGCTCCTAACTTGAAAGTAAAGTGTGGCATGACTATTTCCTGTCCAGTCTCCATGGAAACTGGATTTGTGAAAAATGCAGAATGGAGAAAATATGGCCTTGGAGCAAAGCACCTGATGAGGCCAAGCTCCACAGTGCTCTTCATACACAACTGTGGCCCATGTTCCCACGTTCTTCCAACCCCTGATGTAGTGAGAAGTCTCCATAGGATTCATCCTTAGTTACTACCTCCCATTTACCTCACTTTCTCAGTCTGTGCACTCCAAGGTACCTGGCAGCTAGAACACCCCAACCTCCAGAGCATTCACATCCAAGCATGTGGCCACATCAGTTTCTGTCAAATGTTATTCCCTCACACCTGGAGTTCTGGATGCAGAGTTTTGTGCATGGACATCTGGATATCTGACCAAATGATTTGGACATGGATGCAAGGCTTGCAGAGTGACTTGATTATTTTTATCTCTCAGGGGAATTATAAAATATTCTGGTTCCTTGAGCCCAGGTTTCCCCTCCAAGAATGCAACCCACTGAACATGCAGGCCCATCCAAATTGCCTCTATAAGAAACAAAGAAAATAATGCAAACATGCTAATGATCTTGAGGCTTACTGTGCCATGTATAAAAGTCCTTTGTTGATTATCCAGGAGTACTGTGTCAGCACCTATAAAAGTGTACTAACATGGTACAAATGAAGTCACATCCCAGGCTGTCTCCAGTTATTGACAAGGCTAAGTGTCTACAACTAAACATGATCTGACATATTAACAGTGAGTTCTTAAGCCACTACTAATTATGTGCACATAAAAGTTAGACATTAAGCAACCTTAAGAAAGATAACTAAAGCACCATAAATTCTTACTTGTGTCCTGAAAAAATGCTCTGTTCTGTTACCTAGATTGGCAGCAGAAGCAGCAGTTGGCTCATGAGCCTTCATGACTTGGAGATGAAGCAGGGAGCTAGGCGTAGTAGGGAATGGGAATCTTTAAGAAGTTTCCAACATTCCTACCTTTTCCAGGAGGGGAAGGGCTCTCTGGCTGTGGGGTCACCCTTGCCGTCACTACTGTGGAGGGTGGCACTGGCCTTTGGTGAGCCAGGGAAGGGTCTCCTAGAGAGAGGATAATCACATGGCATTCATGATCCTGAGGGTGAAACTTGGTGTGGCTTCACAGCTGGATATAAATTTTAAAAGCACATAATTAAACTATGGAGATATCCAACTTCTTAGGTCAGATTCAAAGTGCAGGAAGCAACTAAGCAATGTTTTCCAATCCAAATGTAAAGACAGTTTAGCAAATTTTGAATTAACTTAGTTTTATAATGTTGGATGTTCATGGAACAATAAGTAATTACCCAACAGGTTCTATTTGTTATTCCTCAACAGATACTGCATGAAGGGAATTGTTAGTGGTGAAAAGAGGAAGGAATTTCTGAACTAGAAGAAACCACATGGGAAGACTGGTCTCCTCTTTCCTTCACCCAAGACACACAGAATTTTGAGGAAATGTAACTTTCCATATAATGAAAAGGCTCTTGCTTTTTATCCCTGAAAATTACAGGTTCCAGTGAGTCCCAGGACAGAACAAAATGAGAGACTCACTTGGTGTTGCCACAGTTACTGCCCACTCCCAGCCTCACCTGGCTTTTCTACCCAAGGCCACAGGATGCTATATTCCCCAGCTATATGATTCCTCAGTGTAAGTGGAAAGGCTTCCTCCCCTTCCCTATGATGTCTGATGGAAAGATGGAGAAGAGTTACCTATCACTGTAAAGCCCTTGAGAAAGGGACTCCTTTTCAAAGAATCCTCCAGTGGAGTGAGCTCCACCAGGAGGCCCCTTCCCATCCCCTGCCCCAAAGGAGTTCAGAATCCTTCTTGGTATAGGTGTGTATGAGTTTTTAAAAGCACCTAGCTTGCTGCTGGACATGTACTGCATCGAGCCAATGCATGTTTAGTCAGTGTTCTCTTGGGAGGTCATGGGTCAATGCTTATTTTTCTAGAGGAAGGAAAAGTGGAGCAATGAGGCTTAATGTTCATGGAAATAGCACCTTGTGGTTCTCTACACTGTTTGGTGTCTTTCAGAATGTCTGCCTGGTTGTAGATGGTTTTTGGAGCAGAGGGACCAATGCTTGTGACTTTTCTCTCATTCTTGCTCTTGAGTACTGGCTCGATACCATCCATGGGTGACTACACTAAGGGAAATGTTGTTCCATTGGTCTACCCTAGTCCTTGGGATTTAAGCAGCAAAGAAAAGCAGTAAAGTCTGCCTCCTTGGGGAAAATCCAAAAAGACTCGGGGGAGGGGGAAGGGGCAACTGTGCTTGTGAGCATACATCCTTTCTTTCATCCAAATCCTTGCTACCCTAAATCTCAAAGCAAGTATCGATGGTAGTATTAGTTCACGTTTACCCTCAATACGCAGTGTGAACACCAGGTTCATTTCTTAGAGTATTCGGAGACTTGCTGACAACATCACAGATAGAGGCTGGCAGAGATAATATGTAAAAACAAAATCATGGCATCCAAATGCTCATAGTTTTTACAACTAAATGGTTGCTTAACATTCCCCTTGGTGTAGCTTTCTTCCAACTTTTAACACGGATCTCTTGGCCCTGCGATCATGCATATGGCTCCCTCAGGGCATCTCTGTTGCTTATGTAGCCTTAACAGGTTGGGGGTGGGGAGAAGAAAGACCAGTTCAGGGACTGGCTACTTACTGATGCACTTGAGATTGGGAGTTGTCCAGTAGGCAATCTTCGTGGTCTTGTTAAACACACACTCAGTCAGGCTGGATGTACCAGCCTTACGTTTGAAACCAGAGTTACAAACATACCGCTCTCTGGAACTCAAGTTGTAACTCTTGACTCGGATGACTGCATGTTCAACAGATGTGGGGGTAGGACATGTGACGCCTGTAAAAGTGCAGATGAGAAAGGAGAAATGGAAATAGTTTAACATGAGCTGGAGCAATCTCCAGCGTACACATGGCTAGTGGTCAATAATTTCATAGCCAAGGTCCAGATTTACACTGGGGACCCCTTATGATAAACCCCAGAATCCAAGCATGTGGAAGTTGTTTTGGAAACATGCTTCATCATCTAGAAACCGCCTAGGAGTCTTGCCTTAAATACTAGTCATCCTGCATAGATAGACTAGACAGTCCTCCAATGAATCTCCCAGGCTCCCTCCCCTGCTCATTCCTCTCCAAATCCTTGGCATCACCAGAGGAGTGTAGCTCTCTCTACTTGAAACTAAGCCCTCTTGCTGAACAACAATGGATTCAGATCAGTCTCCATACAGGACTTTGAGCCATACACATGGGGCAGCCAGCACGATCTCCAGTGTATATTTAACATTACTCTTCCCTGACTTCCACTTGTCGGATAAATACTGAGCTCCTTAAAAAGTCTATAGGACTCTGCAAGACCCTGTCCTGTTTGCCTCTCCAGCTCTCTTCCTCCCAGTCACTCTGCCTACTGTTGCCCTAAGCTACTCACTATCCTTTCCCCCTGCACAACCCACAACCACTGTGTTCATTGCCAAGCTCACTTGCCTATCATGCTTTAAGTTTATGGCAAAATGCTTCTTTTATATCTTAACAGGAGAGGAAGCAACCAATGTACCAAACCAAGGTTGTTGAATAATTCTTGTTTAAGAAGAAGTTCTATCCAAAGCCATCACATTCCATTGTAGCTGATGTTAAAAAGCAAAAATTGGGCCCGGTGCGGCATGGCCTAGTGGCTAAAGTCCTCACCTTGAACGTATCGGAATCCCATATGGATGCCGGTTCTAATCCCAGCAGCCCCACTTCCCATCCAGCTCCCTGCTTGTGGCCTGGGAAAGCAGTTGAGGACAGCCCAAAGCCTTGGGACCCTGCACCCACGTGGGAAACCTGGAGGAAGTTCCTGGCTCCTGGCTTCGGATCAGCATAGCACCGGCCATTACACTCACTTGAGGAGTAAATTATCATATGGAAAACTTTCCTATCTGTTTCTTCTCTCTATATATCAGATTTTGTAATAAAAATAAATAAATCTTTTAAAAAAATAAGCAATGCCATAGCGGTTAAGGTCCTTGCCTTGAATGTGCTGGGATCCCCTATGGGTGCTGGTTCTAATCCCGGCAGCCCTGCTTCCCATCCAGCTCTCTGCTTGTGGCCTGGGAATGTAATCGGGGACGGCTCAACACTTTGGGACCCTACACCCGCATGGGAGACTCTGGGGAGCCTCCTGGCTTCGGCTTGGCTCAGGTCCAGATGTTGCAGCCAATTCGGGAGTGAACCATTTGACGGAAGATCTTCCTCTCTCTCTCTCCTCTCTGTATATTTGCCTTTCCAAAGAATGAATGAATGAATGAATGAATGAATAAATAAATAAATGAATAAATAAATCTTTTAAAAAATAAGCAAAGGTTTTCTGTAGGCACTAGAAATAACTGCTGTGAGTTTTACTATTTTTTTTTCCCAATTAAGTAATACATACTAGATTTCCCTTTGTGCAGATGAGATAAGCAGCAATTGGTATCTGAGGGCCAAGCCCAGATTGGGGCGTGGAAGGAGCTAACTTTGTGTGGGCTGTGTTGTAGGGAGGTTCATTTGCAGCAGTTTTTTGTTTGAGCAATGCCCCATTTCTTTCACAAGTTTTCTCAATTTACTTATTTTGTTTACCAGAAATGTAGAGAGAGCCATATACATTGAGGATTTTCATTGCTTGTTCATACCCCAAATGTCCACAATTGGCAGTGCTGAACTAAGCCAAAGTCAGAATCCTGGAAGTCAATCTGAGTTACCCACCTGGATGGCAGGAACCCAACTTGAGCCATCCCTGCTGCCTGCTAGGGTTCACGTTAGCAGGAGCAGATTTCAGGACCCAAACCCAGGCACTCGACTGTGGCAAACAGGCATCCCAAGCACTGTCCTAACTGCTCAACCAGACACCCTCTTTGCCCTCTCTCTTTCTTAGTCTACTATATACCTGTATATTTATTATTCTTTTTATATGTTACACACATGATGGGATGGAAATCAAAATGCTTAACAATGTCCCATTCAGACTGACCAGACAAAATAGATGTTGATGTTAATTTGGACCTAGCTGGGTGACAATCTAGCCACAGTTTAGAGGAGGGACCACACTGATGAGGAGTCGCTGTGATTCAGCCATCCATTTGTTATATTCTAAGTATTCTAAACACTTTATAATAAAAAAGAATCTGCTCTGGCAGGCCCATGCAGCTATATCTTCTGCAGCAAGGATTCATGGGGGTGCAGGCTTGCAGGGGACCTGGGGGATGGCACTGGCAGGATCATGCAGGTACCTGGGGGCTCACATCCAGGCAGGTGGAGCAAACCTGGGTATTTCCCCACATGATTCCTCCAGGGCAGAGTGGAGAGAGTGGAGGAGACAGCTCTAGATTAGCATGCTGGCCTGGTGTGCTAGTGGATCAGGCTTGAGGAACTTTTAAAGTAGTTGGATCTTGGGTGTGCAGAGGGGTAAGAGTGGACACAGGCCAAGCTGGTCCAGGTTGCAGCACCCACAGGCATACTCAAGAATACGATGTTGGGCAAGCTGGACCACAATATCCACCAGTTCATACAAAGGCCAGGACAGAGGGTTCAGACTATGTTGGATATGGGCCTTGCATGCAAAGCACATGTGAGAGCTGAGCCTGCTGGGGGAACTTGGGAAACTCCCCCTGGTGGGACATAACTCTCACTGGTGAGAATGAGATTCAGGCCTGCTTGTTGGTCAGGCTGGGCAAGACAGCAAGTGTGTGGGTTGGTTTTGGAGGGGGTGGACTGGGCCTGGTCAAAACTTAGACCACTGGCATGTGTAGGAACCAGGTTTAAGTGTTTTCATTCCAGGCTAGGATATTACACTACCAGTTTGCATGAGCCAGGGATGGAAGCAGACTTGGCAGGGATAGGCTGCAGGGACCACCAGCAAAAGTTGGGACTGGGGGAGGGCCAGGCAAGGTCAGATTGCAACATCCAATGGCAAAGATCAAGATGGGCAATGAGCTATGCCAAGCTTGGTCAGCACAACCACTGGCACACGCAAGATCTGTGTCTGGGAACAGGCCTGGTAGTGGAGCTAAGAGGATGCCCTGGCTGGGTTATGGTTCCCACTGGTGACCATGACAGCTGGAATTGGGGCAGCAATCTGGGCTGGGCATGACTGCAGTGTCCCTCAGCATAGGAGTGGACTGGGCCTGGGGTGTGAAAGACTGGCTAGACTCCAACACCTACTGGTGCTCATGAGAGCCATGGAGGTTATAGGATGGGCTGGGCTAGGTTTTGGCACCTGCTAAATCACACAAGAGCTATATCTGGGTGTGGACTAGGTGTGGCTGGGCTGTAGCAGCAAACAGTAAGAACCAGACTGGGTGTGAACCAGTTGGGCAAGGCCACAATTCCTGCCGGAACAGGAGGTAGGCTATATCAGTCTGAGCGAAGGACCCACCAGTGTGCACGAGATCTGCCACTGTGAAGAGACCTGACAGAGAAACTTGGGGAACTCCTTTGACATGATGCAGTTATTTTGTAGGTGACCATAAGAACCAAGACTGGGAGTAGCCCAGACCAGGTCAGGTCACAGCATACATATAGGTCAGGTCTGGGGGTGGGCCAGGCTGGGGCCAGTTCATAACTCTCACTGGCAGATGTGAGAACCAGGACGGGGTGCAGGACAGATCAGGTCAGACCACAAACCAATCAGTTCACATTAGGGCTGGGGCAGGGGGCTGACTGGGCTGCGTTAGGCTGCTATACCTACCAGCATGAGCTGGAACTGGGGGAACACCAGGCCACACCAGGCTACAGCATCCATTGGCAAATGCCAAGGTGAGGTGGGCCATGCCAAACTGGGATGCAGCACCAAGCAGCAAACATGAGACCCAGGGGCTGGAGGAGCCCAGTATGGGGTTTGTAGAGGGCTCTCTTGCTGGGCCACTGCTCCCATTGGCAATCATAAGAAGAGGGACCAGGACCTTGGTCCTGCCCATGAGTGAAAAAGGCATAGTAGCAGACACAGACCTCGATGCACATGGAAAACATGACAACTCATTTGGTACTGTCACAGAGGAAGAACAAAGAAAATTGAACAACTATCCCAGCAAATGATGACAGCAAAAATCTGGGAGAATGGAGATTTGAGGTCAATTTTGGCAATCAATGAACATTGGGAGGGTTGTCTCACCCTTGGATCGGTGAAATTGACAATATCTCAGAACTATCCAAACCACCTGATCAGACCACTCGGAACACGCACAATAGTGGAACCCTGGGTTGATATTTGGTGGTGGTTCCCCATCCCTGGGTATTGGGACATTTCGGAGGCTGGGTGTGGCTTCCCCACTTATCTCTCTCCCTCCCCCAGAGGCAAGAAGAAATAGAAAATTAGGAAACAATGATTCCACCCACTTTTCCCTGATCTTTGATCTTTGCCACCATGGACAACCCTGTAATCATCATCAAATAAATAAAATTTTGAAAACTTAAGTTTGAAAAACAGAAAGAAAAAGAAGAACTGGGACATGGGGCACACCAGACTGGGCAGGGCTACAATACCTGTTGGCCTGCATGTGAACTGGGTTAGGGGAGAGCTAGTTGGGCCAACCGACTATATCCACTGGTGCATGCATGAGCCAAAGTGCAGGCTGGTCAGACTTTGCCACAGCATCAGCTGGCAAGTACTGGGACTGGGGGCAAGTCTTGTCAATCTAAACTACAGAACCACCTGAAAAGTGCAAGATCTTGGAATGGGCCGAGTAAGGAAACTGTGAGCACCTCTCTGATGGTGAGCATGAGAACCAGGGCTGGGGGCATGAGTGTAGTCTGGATAATGGGGTCTGTTTGATTGAATTAGGTTTCAATGCCCATTGGTGTGTACAAGAGCTAAATGAGATGTGGGAC